GGCTGGGGACCAGGAGGGACGGGAGGCAGGCTGGGGACCAGGAGGGACAGGGACGGGGGGCAGGCTGGGCTCTGGGGGCTGCTGTTCTGGTCTCGAAGCCAAAGCTCAAAGGCCACACAGAAGGCGGTCTCCCTGATGTTTTCCCGCAGATTCTGGGAGAGACCGATACGAGGCTCAGCCACCCCGAGCCATCTGCTGGGAAAGGAAAACCAGCGTGAACGATACGCGCGGTGGCAGGCACGGTGGGTGCGTTTCCTTTCCTTTCTGTTTTAGGAGAGGCCAGGGTGGAGGGCGGGCAGGCAGACCCTATTCCAGCTGCCCTTTGACCTCTGGCCGGGGGCAGGGGGAGGGGCACTTACAGAACCTGGTCCCCGGTTGCCGACCCCGGGCAGCTCAGCTCCTTGTGGATGAGGCGGATCAGGAACTGCCCCCAGAACAAAGAACAAGGACGAGAGGCCGTTACTGCGGGCAGGGGCCTGGTCAGCGCCCCGGGGGCCCGGCGCACGGCCGCCTGGGGGGCTGCGGGGGCCCCACGTCATGGGCCGGGGCACCCCGGGACCCAGGGCAGCGCTGAGGGCCTGAGTCACACGGAGACCGTGCTCCGGGAGGTAAGGACCGATTTCAGCCTAAAACGTCCGGGATTGAATAATGTTCAAAATGAAATGAGTCCAATCGTAAAATATCCAAATTAGGAGGAGAGAATGAAGACCAGGTGGCCCATGATCACAGTGGCTCGGGGTGGGGGGGAGACCCAGGGGGGTGGACCCAGGGGGGTGGACCCAGAGGACCAGGCGAGCATCTCCCAGACCCCGGCACCCGGAGGCCGACCAGGCTGCCCTCGGAACAGCCACGTTTCCTTGGGAAACGTCTGGGGGAGCGCCTGGCCCCGCCGGGACCCTTGCCCGCGGCCTCTGCCGCCGCCGTGGGAGCAAAGCAGGGGTACGGCCCTGCCTTGCCCGTACCGCTCCCGCACGTGCTCACAGGGCCAGGGCCACCTATGGAGCCACCCTGGCGACTGGGCGCCACGCAGCCAGCTGGCACTGCCCGTGTCTGCGGACCTGGATTTCCACGAGCTGCCCCCGTCCCTGGTTTGGGTGGAGCCTCCTTAGAAGGCAGCAGGTGCCCCCAGGCCCAGGAGGGGCCGGTGGAGAGAGGGCCGGCGCGGCCTCGGGTCAGCGCTCAGGAGGCCGGGACCCGGGTGGAGCAGCAGCTCAAGGAGAAGCTCAGGGCCGAGAGAACAGCTGTGTCTCCTGCAGAGAGAGTGCGGTCCGGCGGCTCTGCTGGACCCTGGAGACCTGTGCACACAGTCACGGGGCAAAGCAGGGAGCGTGTCAGGGGCTGAGGGTGGGGCACCTGACCCACACGTCCCACCGAGTGCACTGCGTGCGTGTTCGCAGGGAGAGCCCACGATCATCCAGAGCAGATCACCCACGCAAACGGAAAAGTGAATAAGGGGACGGGTGTGTAACGCGCATGAAACCATGCAAACGGCAGTGGCAAATCTGAAAGACAGAGGGCACGTTCTCGCGGGGCGCCGGGGGGCTCAGTCGGTTGAGTGTCCAACTTCGGCTCAGGTCATGATCTCGAGGTTTATGGGTTCGAGCCCCGCGTCGGGCTCTGTGCTGACAGTTTGGAGCCTGGAGCTGCTTCGGATCCTGTGTCTCCCTCTCTCTCTGCCCCTCCCCTGCTCGCGCTCTCTCTCTCAAAAATAAATATTTTTAAAAAAATTAAAAAAAAAAAAAGGCCACACTTTCGCGTGTGACAGAGAGCCGTGTCTGCAGGGAAGAAGAGGGAGACCCGCCTGCTCTGGGTGCCTGCCCAGGTGCCTGGGGCCCCCTGACCCGGGCCAGCAGGGGTCAGCCCGTGAGTGTGACAGCGTGGCCACCAGGCTCTGAGCAGGAGCCACGGGCAGTCTGGCAGCGCCCTGCGTCTGACCCCACAGTGTGAGCTGCGCGGTGCCGGGCCCGGTCCCAGACCCGGGGGTGGGTCGGGTCTCCTGAGCAGCGGAGAGCAGGGCTGTCTGGTGTCTAGGCCGCCGCGGACCCCCCGCTCTTCCGTCCGGATCTCAACCACCCTGGCCGGTGCGGTTTGCCTTCCGTCACCCCTTGCCCGTCTGGCACTTGCACATCCTCTTCTCTGCCCTTTCTGAACTGTGACGCGTCACGTGCGCCGTCCGGCCCGCAAGCCCAGCCGCTGCCCGGTGACGGCAGGCGGCTCACAGTCACGTCTGCACGTATGCGCTCCCTGGGGCTCAGTTCCGTGTTGCGTCTCCGGTGCCGGCCGTGGCTTCCGCGCTGTGCTGCACCCGGGGCGTCGTCGTCTCTGTGCTCCACACACTCCCATGCTTTCCCTTCTGGGAGAGCTTCAGTGCCACTCCACCTGCCTGACAGCCGTTTTATCTGCAATTTGGGGGTTCTCATTCTGCGGTAGTGGTGTCTGTCACCCCAAACACACGGCACTGTGTCCTGATTTCAGATCGAGGGCTCCTCTGCCGGGCGTGAGCTGTGGGAATCCTGCGCAGTGGGGTGAGGTCCATCCTTGCCAATGGGTTTAGATCTGCTTTTGCCCAAGAACCGGGTATATCACCATCCAGACCACTTTTACGCATTTTTTGGCACCTATTACGCATGTTTATATAAGTTCAGAAACGAAAGCTTACTATAGGCGGGCCTGGGGCTAAGCAGTCTCAGCGATGACCCCCCACCCGCCAACCTCTTCTGGATACAGACCCCATCTTCGTGGACCCACGTGCCCGCTGAAGCCCAGCCCTCGGAAGGTGCTGGCCCCCCCGCTTCCCACTCATGCGGGACCTCTGCTCCCCAGGGGGGCCAAACCCCTACGCCCTCGATGCCCGCTGCTCCAGCCTGGGGAGTTGTCTGTGCTGCTTCGACATTCTGGGTCCCGGGGAAACCCTTCTGTTCTACGGGGTTGGCTGTGCATTTAAAAGGAAGCATAACGTGTGCTCCCCGCATTGCTGAGGGGGGTCTTCCACCTTTAAACCATCGTAATGACAGACGCCTCGCTGCCTCTTGGTGGAAACCGGTCTGGGACTTCACTAAAGCCCTCAGGCATTTACCAAAACAGATGCTCAGAGGAGCAGCCGCCTCAGCTAACAGGCCCCTGAGGTGAGAGCTGGCACTGGATCCTCCAGGGACGGGGGTGGGGGTGGGGGTGTAAGGTAGGGATGGGGTGTGTGTGTAATGGCCCTGGAATGAAAACACAGAACTCTCATCTGATGGGTAGAGCTGGTGTTCCCAAGTCCTCGACTCATCCTTACAGAGTTCAACCTCAGGGGGCTTCTGGGGAAGCGAGCGGAGGCACGTGGCCTCAGGCTGGGGTCCCCGAGCGCAGGGCGGCTGCAGGTGGAGTGCACACTAGCCGCCCTCAGGAGAGCGTGGCCAGCCTCCGACTGGGGCCGGCACCTGTCTGTCCTGCAGCCGCACGCAGAGCAGGGGCCGCACACGGGAGCTGGGTGCCCGCCCCCGCCGCCCCCGCTCCTCCGTGCCCGTCCCTGCGGGCCCCGGGAGTCCACTTGATGTAGGACGCAGGAGCAGCACTGGGCAACGGAGGTCACCATGTCGGGAGGAGGTTCTGCCACCCAGTCCCCTCGATAATCCGTCTCGGGTGCCATTATTATGCCCATTTAGCCATTGCGGGGGCTGCAGAGCAGAGAGGCCACGCTGCCTGCCCCAGGGGCACTGCACCCGGCAGAGGACGGGCCGGGAGCCCACGCGGGGAGGAGCCTGTCACTGCAGAGCCACGGGCAGGCTGGCCTCCGCTCTGACATTTGTTCAGACCAGAAAGAGGAAGGCCTCGGATCGCGAGCGCCTGGGGAGGCTGGGGTGTCACGACCAAGGCTCCCCGGGGGCTGCACTTCCGCCGGCACAAGCGGCACCATGTCTGGACGACCAGCGCGGACTTACCAGTAAGGCACAGGCATCAGCAACCATCAACATGTAGAACACGTTGTTCCATCCGGATGGGGAGAGGAGTCCCGCCAGCAGGGGGCCCAGTGCGGCTCCTGCAGGGGCAAGCGCAACACGGGCTGTGTGAGGAAGGTGCTGGAAGGCCCAGCCAGCGCACAGCCTGGTGCTTGGCACCTCGCTCACACTTCAGGAAAAACACGGGCAAACAGCACAGTCCCATCCCTGCCCACCGGACTGGTCACGCGCAGTCCTGGGGGGGACACGACGGGCACAGCCTCTTTCCAGAAGCAAATCTTAAACTACGCACTTGACCTTAACACGTTCATTCTTTGGATCCAACCATCCCCATTAAAGGCGTGACTAGTGGAATCTGAATCTCATGCAGAATCTTAGATATGCTTGCATTAGAAATGATGTTGGTGAAATGAGTAAGGTTTGAAGGTGCTAATGCGTGTCAGTGCTGACTGGCTCACTGGATGATGGCGTGTGGCGGTTCAATCTGGGGCTCTGCCTCCAGGGGGTGCATACTCAGTACACAGTTACTGTAAAGGGGCAGCTTGTCTGTGGTTTGCCCCTCAGTGGTGTGGGGAGAAGTATACACATATAAAAAGTACGGATGTATATGTATACTTCACGTCCACCCAGCAGGCGCCCGCCCTTGCCCACAATGACGGAACGCTGGCCCCGGGCCACACCCCGGCCGGCACTGCCAAGTCTCCTCCTCCAGATTCCAGTCGGATCCCACGACCGTGACGACCAGCGGTTGACCCGCCATTCTGTGCGGAAAGGGCTTCTAGTAAGTGCTCGGTGGCTCGTTCTTAAATACAAATTTACGAAGGGCTGGCCCGACCCACCTGTGTCTGAGGAACGCTCCAAGGTGACAGCAAACAAGTGGGAAGGAGGGGAACCAGAGGAAAGAAACAAATTGGGGAGGAGGAAGTTCCCAGGAAATTTAATACCTTCAGACGATTGATAGAAAATTGAGTTGAACCATATGATATTCTCACAGAACTAGTATCCACAATTTTGCGATTCAATCTATTACACGTTGTGTCCAAGAAATAAGAACTAAAGAGGTAGAAAAATGCTAACGAGTGTTAACACGATGGTGCAAAATGAAGGTTGAAAGTAAAGTCAAGCACATCTCTGAGAAAGCAGAGAAAAGGGGAAAAGTCAGGAAAAAAGGAAACAAAGAAAAAATGGAAGGAATTAACTCAAAAGGCTAACTAACATCTGACTCATCAGTTTTCCGGGACTTAAAGACACACAGCGGTAAGGGTCACGGGTCAAAGAAGACACAGGGCACAATGTCGCAGAGAGGAAGGGCACGCGTCCCCAGGCGGAGAGAGTCCGGGTACCCGGGGCACAGGGGATGAAGAAGGCACCAGAGATAAAGAAGTGTGCCCAGAGGTTTTGGGGGGAAGCAGCAGGAGGCAGAAACGAAGGCTGGGCCGAGGGGGCAGCAGACGTCCCATGGAGGCCTGTGGGAGCCACGGGGCACTGGAACCCTGAAGAGAAAGGACCTTAGCCCGGGACTCGTATCCACAGCTGGAGGATGGGGACCGCACACTCCCAGCCCTCACGCTCCCTCTCCCGCGGGCTGCTGCTCAGGAAGCCCCTGGAAGTCCCCACTGAAGAGAGGCAGAGCCGCGAGCTAGAAGACGGGCCAACGTGGGAACGCGGTGGGGAAGCGGCTCGGGGACAAGCTGTGGGGGGCATTGCACCGCTGGCCCCTCACAGCTGACGGCCTCAGGGGTGACGGGGGGGAAGCAAGGGAGTGAGCACGACCGCGGAAAGCTCATTTCTTACGCGCTGCTAACACGATGAGCGGTGCTGACTGAGGAGGAAGGGGAGGGGGTGGGGGTTCAAGAGCCGAGCCCCAGCCTCCTTCCCCGGAGGACGGCAGCCGGCGTCGGGCCGAGGGGCGGAGAAGCAGGTAGCCTTGTGCGCAGCTCAGAACAGGGGAAGAGCTGACGTGGCTGCACCTAGGAGGAGGGGCTGGGGGTGTATGAGGACCGACATCTCTAGCCTCGAAAGTCACATCCAGGGTCACTTTGATGAGATAAAGATGAGCTGGAAACAACTCGGGGCGCTATGCAGGTGCCGTGTGTGAAACAGGCCTGACGGCAGCGCGTGCCCCCGGGAGGCGACTCTGAGCACCGGGAGCACCGAGCACGTAAGCCGAGTCACCGGAAGCACGGGCCGCGGTGCGCGGTGCGAGGGCATCGCTTGGGTACCGTCAGCTGCGCTCTGCCTCCCACACCAGTATTTCCGACACCGAATGAACGTGTCAAGGTGAGCACTGAATGGCGTGCATTCCACTCCAGCCTTTCTTCCTTCTGTCGGGGAGGCGGCACTTGTGTAGGGAGGGATGGGCAGGGGTGCGGCTTGCTCCACGGCGGCCACTCCCCGGGGCCCTCAGCCGGGAGAGAGCAGAGCTGCAGGGGCCGCGGGAGTTGAGGCGCGAGGGCTCCGCGCCCAGTGTGCACTGCAGCTTACGGCGAGGTCGAGCGGGTCTGGCTGCCCTTGGCCGTCCTTCGTGGGGGAGAAGGCGTTTAGAGCCGGGACCTGGATTCTCCCGGGGGCTCACCGGTGCACCCTCCACCCTCGGCCAGGCACATCTGCTCCCTCTTGTTTTCAGAAGAATGTCAGAAAAGATGTGCTTTTGGCCTAATCCACGTTTCCGTCCTTGTATACCACTACCGTCTGCCATGAAACAGCCGTCGATGCTGGAGAGCCGTAGGTGAGCCTGAAGACGTGGCTTCACAGTGGCAGCTGGACAGACCCACAGACCGTCCTCGGGGGACAGAAGGCACGGAAGGTGGCCCAGAGTCGCAAGGCTAATGAGGACTCAGCTCAGCCCAGAGCGTCCCGACTTCCGGCTGAGCGTGTCTTCCGGGCCCTGCCGACACCCCCTGGGCACAGTACCCCCTTTCCTAGATGCACCCCAGGCCTCCTGAAGGGAACTGTCGCAGTTAACCCTCACAGGGTGACCCCTGACACTGCCCAGCAAATTCAAAGTCACCCCACGATCGGAAAACAGGGCAGCTAGGACTTTGGGGAACAGCAGAGGCTCAAGCCTGGCCCCCTGGTGCCCGGTGCATCTCAGAACGAGCAGGGCGTGCTGTGTGAGGCGAGCTGCCGGGGTCCCGGGAAGGGGCCAGAGCGGGGCTGGGGGCGGGCGGCCCTGTCCTGATGAACGGTGCAGGCTGCAGGGAGCCAGCCACCTCCCGCCGGGCCCCTCCCTGGGAACTCAACACCCCCAACAGGAGGGGGCCGGGCCCTGTCTGCCGTGCTGGGGGTGGGAGCAGCCAGGCAATTCATTTCCCACTCGTTCGCGAGGGACTCTGGGCTCCAGGCAGCATCTCTGTGCTCAGAATACGGCGGAGAGCGGAGCGGACTCCTGTCCTCGGGCAGCCTCCGTTCAGGCGAAGGGAGAAGGGATGGCACAAGGCAGGCGGGCGGAAGGTGCCGCGGAGAAGAGATGTAGGTGGAGAGAGGCCCTGAGTGTGGGGGAAGAGGGTCCGCCTTCCAGACAGGCCGAGCCATCTTGCTGAGAGGGTGGCGTGACTCCTGAGCAAAGGCTCCCAGGGTGTAGGGCACAGGTAGCAGGTTCCCTGAGGGGAGCTCCTCTGGCGTGGGGCGCAGCCCGTGCAAAGGCCCTGCGCAGGGACATGCTGGTGTTTGTGAGCAGCGCTGGGGGGCCGCGTGGCCGTGGAGAGTGCTGGGGAGGACTTCGGATCCCCTGGCCACACAGAGGGGCAGCCCCAGGTGCAGGCGCCGGTGGACCCGTGCTTCTACTGGGCCACCTTCATCTGGCAAGAGCTTGGCTTTACTGCCACCGGGCCGTCCTGACGCCCGGATGGCCTCCCCCCAACTTGTCCCCTCCCTCAGCCCCCCTGCTTCGGGCGCCTGGGGCAGCAGGTAACAGCAGGATGCGACCCAGGGTCCGGCAGGGTGGCCGCGGGCACCACCAGCCAGGCTCCTGAGCATGGGCGTCCCGCATCCAGCGAGGCACGACGTAGGAGCTCGGGCGCCGGTGCCCAGCAGGCCCGTCAGGGAGGCTGCGGGGTCCCCGGCTGGCAGGGAGCCGTCACAGGGCGTGTGCTCCCTGCGCGAAGGTGGAGGAAGGACCCGCTGCCGTCAGTCTTCTGACTTGCGGGTCAGAGCGGGCGTCACCGGTTCGCACCTGCCCGGCTCTCCACGCAGGAGCTGTGTGCCCCTCCGCCCCTCTGCCCTCCAGGGTGGGCGACCGAATGCGCTTCCAGAGGCTGCTAACCCCCCGACCTCTACGCCTGGGGTTGCTGCTAGATTTCCTGCCAAGCGTGTGTAGTTCGGATTCCGCCCGTCTCCCAATGGCAGCGATGAAGTCAGGGGCCAGTGGCCACGCTGTGCCAACAGCTGGCCTGGCGGACAAGCCGGCACGCGCTCCTTCACACACACAGAAACCACTTCTAGCCAGTCACGTGCCCGTGTTTCCTCCGAGCCGTCAGCCACGGCGGACAGACGGCGCTCGCACGGCCCCTTCTCCTGGGTCTGCACCTGCTTCTGATCTGCTCGTATTTGAAAAAGGCTGGCCAGTCCCTTATTATTCGTCTCTTTGTGAAGTTTAGTGGTCCTCACTCATTGAAGAGACACATACTGTTTATCTGTATCTGAATGCGTCTGAACTCTGAATATTGAAATTGATCTGAACGTCGTATTTTGGCATTACTTTCTTCTACTTGCAACTTTAAAAATCTGGTTGGCGGAAATTCAGTAACATAACAGGCCTGAAATGTGGGGGCTGTGTCACAGCGAATCGGCGCTCCGACATGCGTGACCTTGACCTGAGGCTGAGCGTGCGGATGCTGTCTTACTTTCCTACCCACGGCCTGCACCTTAGACTATTCCTACAGCCTATGGGGCTGTGAGGCTGGGGTTTTAGGCAAGATTGTTTTTCACGGTAACCGTTAGAGGCTCTTTTCTCATTAAATGATCCAAACTTGTCAACAGCAACTATCTGCACCCCGTGGCACAAAATTAATCAAATTGCCTTTAGTTGGTTTTTACAATGAATTATTAACATCAATGGACACCTTTGCTGAAATGCTAATTGAACTTAAAGTGACTATAAATACTGTATTTTTCCATTTTTAAGCTATGTCTACTCTTAAAATAATCTTAAAAGATTGTCTAATTTTTCTTTCAGAATAAGCGTTATAACAATTCAGTAAAGAGTGTTTCATGCAATAAAAAAAAAGAAAAAAAGAAAAAAAGGGCAGCAATACTAGTTTTAGCAAAACATCTGGAATCCTCGGCACCTGGGAACTAGGATGTTTCCCCCACGACCACAATTAACCTCTCAGCCCCAAAGCTATCCACTCACCTACAGACCCGGTCCCGTCAATGATGGCGGTCACGGTGGCGAGGGCGTGCGAGTTTCCTTTGAGACTTTTGTGCGTGCCCTGGAAGGGAGGGAACACCAGACGTGAGGCACATCTCTGTGGCAGCAGCCAAGACTGTGCCCTCCTGCAACAATGTACCCAGACAACGTTGCAAAGCAATTCAGAACGTGGGGCGTTTTCCACCAGGAAATCTAAACTCCACTCCGTTCCCAACTTACTCCGGGAAAATACGCAAAGCTTACATCGTCGGAGATATCTGCCCAAACATATTCTGGTTTAAAGAACTCTCTGAATCCTTCAAGCCACAGCTAGTCACTCGGCACACCACACCCGCCAACGTGGAAGGGAAAGACACAGATGTGTGCCCGCCCCTGAGGGGGAGCAGCATCAACGTCTGCGTCCACGTTCCCGTGAGGGCCTTCCTGTGACACTGCCAGTGGCTCTGTGGTACCTAAAACCCAACCCGGTCAATGGCAAGTGCCAGGCAGGAAGGGGGGTGGGGAGGGCAGGGCCAAGAAGCCAGTGTGAGGGTCACCAAGTCCTGAAGGACAAACCAAGAGGGGCTTTGGTTTTCAAAAAGCAATACATGGCGGGGACAGGGGGGACAGACTGAGGACGGTAAGAGAAAAGTAACTGACTGGGGAAAAAAGCACCTGGAAACCTAAAATGTCACAAACCAAAGCCTATCTGTTTGATGCCTGTGTATGTGTGCCCGGCAGTGTACGAACTAAAGCACACACGCAAAGCGACAATCGCCTGTAACCCATGTTTCCTGGAGTCTGAGTCCCTGCTCTGTCCCCTGACCCACGGGGCAGATGACTGTGGCTCGTCTGCTGGGGCCCCTCCCAGCACCTCTGTGCCCGTGCGGACACGAGCACAAAGGTGGCTGATGTTGGAGGGGCTGTGCCTGGTGGGCTCCCCAGAGCCCTCCCTCCACCTCTGCCTGCCGACCCATCAGGGCCTCTGGCTGTCCCGGGAGCGGAAGGGGCTGAGGGCGGAGCACGGCGTGCTGAACTACTGGGCAGGTGGAGTGTCAGGTAGACGCTGGCGCTGAGAGGAGGGGCAGGGGGCCGGCGTGGGGTCTGCCTGGGCACAAGGTCTGCTGTAGTGTGGGGTCCACTGTGGCATGGGGTCCGCTATGGCGTGAGGTCCGCTGTAGCATGGGGTCCACTGTGGCATGGGGTCCGCTGTGGTGTGAGGTCCGCCATGGCGTGGGGTCCACTGTGGCGTGGGGTCCACTGTGGCGTGGGGTCTACTGAAGTGTGGGGTCCACCATGGTGTGGGGTCCACTTTGGCGTGGGGTCCACTGTGGTGTGGGGTCCACTGTGGCGTGGGGTCCACTGTGGTGTGGGGTCTACTGTGGCGTGGGGTCTGCCATGGCATGGAGTCTACTGTGGTGTGGGGTCTGCTGTAGCATGAGGTCTGCTGTAGCATGGGGCCCACTATGGTGTGGGGTCCACTGAAGTGTGGGGTCCACTTTGGCGTGCGGTCCACTGTGGTGTGGGGTCTGCCATGGCGTGGGGTCCACTGTGGCATGGGGTCCATTTTGGCATGGGGTCCACCGTGGCATGGAGTCCGCCGTGGCGTGGGGTCCGCCATGGCGTGGGGTCTGCCGTGGCATGGGGTCCACTGTGGCGTGGGATCCACTGTGGCGTGGGATCCACTGTGGCGTGGGGTCTACTATGGCGTGGGGTCTGCCATGGTGTGGGGTCCACTGTGGCGTGGGGTCCACTGTGGCATGGGGTCCGTAGCCCCAGGGACTTGCCACGGCCTCCAAGCAGTAGGAGCGAGTGGCCGGTGGGTTCTGGGTGTGACTCTGTGAGGACCTGACAGAGACGCAGAAGAGAAGCAGGGCCACCTCAGGCAGGAAAGTTCCAGAAGCCCTGGGAGCCTGTGGGGGAGGGGACGCCGTGCCAGATGCCCAGAAGGCCGGCCATCCTGCCCACAAGTCTACTAACGACTCGTGGTTTCACCTGAGATTAGTCTCGGGTGCACAGAAGTTCTGCCAAGAGGGGACACGGCTGTGTGCCCTGCGCCCACGGCCCCCAAGTCGCCGCCTCAGTCAGGGCCCCACACTGATGCGTCACGATGACTAACTCGCGGGTTTCCAGCTCCCGTGGACTTAGACTTCCTTCTGTGCGGGACACCACACGGCGCCCAGCCGTCGCGCCTCCTCCCCCTCCTCCCCCTCCTCCCCCACTCCGTGGCCCCCGTGGGGCGGGCGGGGCGCCCTCTGCTGGCCTGCGTGGGACGGTTTCCTCCTAGTGTTCGGGGAGGACGGTCTCGGAGGTGCGGTGGCACCCTCGCGGCTCGTGGCCAGGTGCACACCGTCACGCGCCCTGTCACTGTGGGCGCTGACCCTGGTCCCCGCGGGGCGTCGGTCAGGCCCCTCCTGCAGCGACGACGTCACTGTGCGCAGCCAGCACCTAAGGACAGAGAGGCGGCTCCCTCTCGAGGACAGAGTGTCCGCAGGCGTTCTCGGCGGGGGACCTGTCTCCTCTTGTTTATTTAGAAACGACTTTTCAAAGAGACCTCGTACCTTGGTGCGTGTAGCGTGGGGCGCGCTAGACGGCGGCGTCTCTTGCGTCAGGTGCACAGGGCAGCCCCGCCCCCACCGGAGTCACCTGCCAGCAGCCCCCTCCAGGAAGGACGTGGACCCCAAGGCCCGATGGCTCCCACCCCCACGGCACTGGCATTCCCTGCCGTGAACACTGGCTTGCGTCATCTCTGGAACGCATCCTCTGGGGCTCAGGGGCCCCGTCTGGGTTGGTCCCCAAGGCCAGGGGCCGATTGAAGGGAGGAGCCGAGCCCACTGCGCCGATCTGGGCCCCAGGGTGGGCTCAGGGGTGCCTGGTCACCAGCCCCTGGGGTGGCATGGAGGGCAGCATGGAGGAGGGAGCCAGCCAGGCTGCTGGCTTCTGACCTCGGGCCTCAGACCAGCGTCTTGGCCTGGCTCCACCCTTGCTTACCAAGGGGCTCGGGAAGGCCCGCAAGAGCACAGGCTCAGTCACAGGCAAACTCTCCTTCCCTAAAGACACCGCTTAACTAGCAGAGGTCGTCTCTGGCCCACCCCCCCACCCCCACTCGGAGCCGGGACGGTGGCCACTCACCAGGTCGGCGGACACGGCGGTGGTGATCAGGGCGTACGGCCCGCTGACCAGGGCCCCGCTGAGGAGCAGCATGGCTGTGGGAACCAGAAACCGGGAGGAGGGATTTAGCAGCAAACAGCGCCCTCTGGGAGAGGTCTCGGCAGCCCCGGGGGGCGCACCCTGGGGTCACAAGGTGGGGGCACAAGGTGGCCTGCACGCCGGGGGCCAGCGTGGGGGGGTGTCCTGTAAAGCTGCCCAGGTGCGTTCCTAGGTCCCCATCACAACCCCGCAGGCCTGGGCTGTGTGAGAGGACCAGCTACTCCGTTTCCTCAACCCTCAACCGGCGGCCAGTGTTGACAGCCTGGAGGCACCAGAACCCCCGCATCCTGAGCGTGGACGTGCCGGGGCTGTGCGGATGCTCCCTGTCGTCAGTGTCGGCAGGTGCTAATCCCAGCCTTGGCCTGCTCTGCAGCGGGAAGGGCTCCCTCTCTCTCTTGCTCTCTCTCGCTCTCGCTCTCTCTGGACGGCTGCCCCCGAGGGAACCCCAGACCCCAGAGCAGCTGAGCTCCTGGGGGGTCAGGGTAACACACTTCCTTCTAAAATGCATGCTTTCTAAACCATCCTCCAGGCTCACTTTCCCAAATTAGCCCCTGGTTCACACTTCTGTGCAGAAGCTTCCGGACCAGCGGGTCACGGGAAACCCCACGGTCCCTTGAGTCAGTGCCCTGCCTTCTGGATAACTTCTAACGGGATCATGCACAGCCTGTCTCCCTCCCAATCACTGCTGCTGGCTTGTTAAGACAGAAAAAATATTTACCAGGGCGCCTGGGTGGCTCAGTGGGTTAAGCATCTGGCTCTTGATTTTGGCTCAGGTCATGATCTCACCGTTTGTGAGATCGAGCCCTGAGTCAGGCTCCGTGCTGACAGTGGAGCCCATGTGGGATCCTCTCCCTCTCCTCTCTGCCTCTCTCTCAACATAAATTTATAAACTTTAAAAAAAAAAAAAAAAAAGAGGGGCAGCTGGGTGGCTTAGTGGGTTAACCGTCTGGTTCTGCTCAGGTCATGATCTCACAGTTTAGGAGTTCGAGCCCCGCATCGGGCTGACAGTGCAGAGCCTGCTTGGCATTCTCTCCCCCCTCTATCTCTGTCCCTGCTCTGCTCTCTCTCTCTGAAAATAAATAAATAAATACTAAAAAAAAAATAATACGTTTCCGAAGCATCAGAGCCGTATCTGACGGCGCTGCTTCCAGGAAGGAAAGAATGGGCTCCTGCGTCCTCACCGGCTCTCAGAGAGGCAGCTGGCGGAGGCGGCTGGGGGTCTGGCCTCTGCCTCCTGGGGGGGGACACATGGCTTCTCAGGGCGCCCCCTCGTGGCCCCGGAGCGGGGGGGCCGTGCTCTCCCACGCTTGCTCTCAAGCCTGCGGACGGGCCGGCCTCACTCCTGGAGCAGGAGTCCCCCCCGGACAGGGACGCGGGACTACCTGCTCCACCAGCCAAGCGCTTCCACGCTACTTTGTTACCCGCTTCATCGGGCTGCGTGGGCAAAAGCCGCGTCCGGAAGAAAAGCAGAAAGGCCGCAGGGACTCACCGATCGTGGCTTCTAGGCCCATCCTGCTGATGGCGGAGAACATGTAGAGCTGTGAACAGTGCGAAGGCGGGGGATCGGGTCACCAAGCGTGGCCAGATGCCGCCCGGGGTTCTCAGGCAGCCACCCAGGCGGGGGCCCCTAAGAAGGAGCGAGGCCCTGCGGCCCTCGCTAGGCACCGTGAAGCCTGGCGCCCGGAGCCCCGGACCTGTCCTCGTGTGCGGCTCTGACGGTGCCTCCTGCTCTGAGCCCCCAGGGCCGGGGACGTGGCTGGGGCAGCTCTCCCCGGGCTCCGTGCCTCAGTCCGACCCGGCCCCTGTGTGTGCCGTCCGCCCGGGCAGGTGCGCCTGCTGGGGGCTCCTGCGGCAGGGGCCACGGGGCCACGCTGCCGTTTCTTCAATGACGCTCTCCGCGGGTCCTTAAGGTGGTGCCTGGGCCCTGAGGTGCCCGGACAGCCCAGCGGAGTGGCGGACGGGCAGGTGCGTGCCAGGCAGGCTGGTGAGTGACAGTACTATTGCTGTGACACCGTGCTTCACCTGACCCTCCCCTTTGCTCTGGGAGGGGGCACCACCCTCACCTTCACGTTCCCCGTGAGGAGGCAGGTGCACAAAGGGAAGTCACCTGCCCAAGGTCATTGCCACCAAATGTGTTAAAAGCAGTGGAAGCCAGCACTGCTGTGTAAGGTCGCTGCTGCCTGGGGGGTGGGGGCCCCTAGAGGCTGAGAGGGAGCCTGTGGGGGAGGAGCCAGGGGAGGGAGCACCCAAAGGGAGCCAGGGATGGAGAGTGGCCCAGCAACGTGCAGGGGGCAGGGGAGACCTCTGAGGAAAGGGGGCTGGGCAGGTTCGGTGGGGGGGCACGCAGAGGGGTTCCCAGGCCACAGCCAGTACCCGACACCATGAGCCACGAATGGGGCTGAGCCTGGGCTGGAGGTGACGGTGTGTGAGGGCAGGGGGCAGGGGAGGTGGGGGGTGGCTGCTCCTGGAGGCTTGGGGCCCAGACAGGGTGGGGGTGGGGTGGGGGCCTGGCTCACCGTCGGGGCTGCAAGCAAGAGCATCAGGCCACAGGTGGAGGCTCGTTTCTCCAGTCGATCTGAGATCACGCCCGCCAGGATCCCACCTGCAATGCAGAGGGGTTGCTTGGGTCCCCGGGGCAGGAGCCCATGGAGAGAGAGAGGAATATGAAGACGGCAGTGAGAATCCTCTCCTTCCCCACGTCCCTGTCCATGGTCTCTGTCCACTGTTAGCCACGTCCCCGTCCACGCTCGCTGTTCACCGCTGGCAGGAAGTGGCCTCAGAGACCAGGCCTTGTGGGGTCGTGATGGGATCTGGGTGACCCGGGGGCATCTCTCAGGGAGACCGTGGCAGGGTCTGCTGCGAGGCTGGCCCCGAAGCCCCCCACACTGTTAGGGCACTGGCACCCCAGTCTGCCACCAGTTCTAGCTCCAAGTCTGTGCCCTGGAGAGGGGCGGGGGGCAAGGGACTGTCCCCCCCAGAGTGACGGCTGCACGTCCACTTGGGTGATCTGACATTTTGGGGAACCTGTGTCCCTCTCAACAGGAAGTCAGCTCAGACAGCTCAGAGGGGACAGGGCGCAGGGTCCACAAAGCACCGTCCAAGGACGGCAGGGAGGGCGGACTCACCGAAGATCCCGCCCACGTCAAACAGGGTGGAGAGCTCCCCGGCTTGTCTGGCGTCCAGGTGATCTGACAGAAGGACAGGTGTCCCCGTGAGCAAGTGGCAGCACAGGAAGACCATGCTTGGCGGCCCCGTGTGTCCCAGGCGTGACCGAAACCAAGCAGCCGTTAGTGGTGAGCTCGGCTTGAAGGAGACGGCGGGCCACAGGTGGGGGGACGCGGGAAGGAGGGGAGCCACGCTCTTCACGTGAATATGAGGATTTCCGTGGCTCTGTCTAATCCCCACCCCTCCGCTCTGTGTCCCCGGGACGGCGGGAAGTTAGGCGCAGCGCAGAAGGCAGCGAGGACAGCCTGGCAGAGGCCCCCGTCATGACGGGCGTGCCCTGGACCCTCGGCGGACCCTGAAGGCCTCCTCGGAACAACAGGGAGGGAGCCACGCTGGGCTCTGAGGGGACTGAAGGTGGCCAGTGCAGGGGAAATGGGCTAGGGACGCATTTAGGGCCATCAGTCGAGTCTGGCCTTTCCTGGCGTCCTCAAGGCACAAACATACAAGCGACTTAGCTCTTTTAATCACTGAGATTAGAAAAGCCAGCAAATCATGACCCGAGTCCTGAAAATGTCCCCCCTTCTGCAATCATGGGGGAACAAAGGAAGAAAGAAGGTATGATATCTGTCTACACTGTGTGCGGCTCGCCCGCCCCCGTGGAGGAGGGGTCTCCCGTCTACACTGCGTGCGGCTCACCTGCCCCCGTGGAGAGGGGGTCGCTTGACAGGGTGCTGCTCCTGACCACCTTCCCTCCCTCCCGGACTCTGTCCCCACCACGTGGCGGTCCCCTTACCGCCTCACCTGCTGTCCAGGGAAACTCAGCCCTCCTGCCCTGGGCTCACGGCCACGTCTGCTGGACCTTGTGGCCGTGGGGAATATGTGGTTCGGGCCCAGGGCAGGCGGCCCCAAGAAGGGCCACTTTGACCTGAAGATTCTTTTGAGTTGAAAGCAATCAACACCCGGCAGGTTCAGGAACGTTCCTCACCTCCCCCACAGCCGCCGACACCCGCCCTGGAAAGGCGAGCCCACGGCAGGAAGCGCGCTCTTAGCACAGCCTCCTCTCTACCTAAGGGGCTGCTCTGCCCAACAGAGCGACTCCTTTCCCAGCACCTCCTCCCACCTTCCTGCCCGCGCCCCCAACCCGGGCCCCCCACGGCCAACCCTCCCCGGAGCTCAGGACGTCCTGTGGCCCGACTGTCCCCGGAATCCCACGTCTTTGTGGATTCCCCGTACGCACCAAACGGAGTTGGATCTTCTCCTGCGAATGTGTCCCAGGTCAGTGTGACTCTGGGCCCAGCTGTGAGGACCTTGAAGGGCAGAGGAGGGCCTTCCTCCCCGACAGTGGTCTGTGCTCTGGGGACCCCCGGGCTCCACACACCCCCTCGCTGCCGCCCCCCCCCCCCCAGAGGCTGCATCTCCCGGGGACCCTTGCAATCCCTGGCTCCCGGCCCTTCTGACGGTCCCTGTGCCCTCTTGGCCGTGCCTACAGCCCCCGCACTCAAGGGCCCTCAGGAACTGTGGACACACATGGCACGGGGGGGGCGGTGTGTGTGTGTCAGGGGGCCAGTGAGCTGTGTGTTCAGCCACACGTACGGCCTCAGCCACAGCTGGACTTGGGGAAACATGACAAGCTGTCAGCTGTCCTGAAAACTGGATCCCACCCCCAGGCACAACCTCCGGGTCGCATCAGTCCGCCTCTGTCACCTCAGATCCCCAGGGCCTCCTCTGTGCACGGTGGGTGTGTCGTCACTTCCAAGCAGGCCGCCCCAGGTGGGAAGAGCCCCGTGAAGTGGCAGCCGCAGCTGGGGTATGACCTGGGCCCAGGGAGCCCCAGTGAGGCTGTTATTACGGCCGCAGAACTTTCGTGCCAGAACTCTCTTTTTGTCTACACCTGCTTTCTAACAACGCCGTGTGACTCACCGGTCCGTCTCGAGTCACCGGGCATTGTATGTGCCTTTCCTCCCAAGACCGCGGAAGCCGCACACGAGAGGGGCTGCGGGCACAGGCGCTGTGCGAACTCAACATGCGTCTCAAGCAGCGAGTACTCACCGACGCTGGTGATGTACAGGGGGAGCCAGAACAGGAAGGTGTAGCTGACCAGCTTGGCGAACAGCAGACACAGAGAGAACTCGATCACGCCCTGAGAGAGGGACACAGAGCCGCTGTTTGCCCCGCACGTGTCCTCTACAGGCTTACCCGAACATGCGACAGAATCGTGGATTACTCCATTCCCACGGACACGGCCAGCATCTCAGGGCTGAGCACCTCCACGGCGGCAGGGAGGGAGGATGCCGATCAGTCGGGCCGGGGGTGGGCAGAGCACGGGCCCGCGAACACGACTGCCGCACCGCATGGCTCCGGACACAGCCGGGTGGGGGGGAGCTCCCGAGGGGCGCCTGGAAGGCCGTCTCAACCCCGCGCACCCAGCACGCTCACCCGGGCCGGAATCCCCTGCAAACAACACAGGGGCCGCCGCACAGCGCACCCCGGGTGCCCACACCCTGCCCGCGCTCAACACACCGGGGGCTGGGAAGGCAGCAGGAGACAGAGGTCTCCCGGGGGAACGAGGTCTGCGGCCCTACGGCTACGGTGGGACGCCTGTTCGTGCTTGACTTTAATCCACTCTTAGAAAGAGGTGGCATGGGGAGGCGGTAACTGGGGACAGCACTGGGTGAGAGCAGGGACGAGCCTCAGGCAGCATGCGGTGTGCGCACAGGGACAGCCACCGAAACCGGGCAGAGAACACAGCTCCCGAGTGATGTGAGTTCCGGACAAAAGGGGTCTGTGTTTCACGGCGGCGACCCAGCCAGGAGGATGCGACTGGCCCCAGGCTTCCTGGGCGCCTGGCGCTGCGCTCGCTGCTGTAACGATGGGCTCAGGAATCCTCAGGACGTGACGTCCTTCGCCAGGCACCGAGCCCGAACTGCGGAAGCGCGCAGCGGGCGCCACACTTGCCTGGGACACCCAGCGCGTGTGGGGCTGGGCCCCGGGCAAGCAGGCCCTGCGAGGCTGCTCCGTCCACAATGCCACCTACTGTACAACCGTGTGCACCCCACGCCGCCCACGCCGAGTGCCTGTGCGATAAGGCGCCACAGGAAAGTTACTTGTTCTTAACAACAAAATTTTTAAGGTAACTTTTTAAAGCCAGCGCCCCCTACAGGCAACCCACGTTCTGCTGGCTCTGGGAGTCCCCGCCTGCCCTGCTGGCTGGAGACCAGCCTCACCCAGTCGCTAAAGGGCCTCTGGACCTGTGCTCCCCCCACCCTTGCTCGTCAGCAGGGGAGGTCTGGGCGTGAAATCTGCAGCAGCCTGTCTCCCCCGCGGGCGCTCCTAGGCGTGTGGCGCCCGGGGCCGGCAGCAGCGAGGGCCTGGACGCCTCACCCCGCGTGGGCGGTGTCCGCGGTCTGCCCTCCGCACCTGCTTCGGCCCTCGGCCCTGCCTGCACCGCCCGCCGCGGCCCGCCACGCCAGGAGAACACGTCTTCCGTGTGTCCGTGTGCGCTCCCCAGGCCCTCTGCTGAGGGAGCTGTGACTTTAACACAAGAAAAGTCCAAACCAACAAGAAATCTCACCACCGCACGTGTCCCCTTCTCCCTGCCGTCTGGAGTAACTTCTCCCTGGGCCTCCTTCACGTCCCGATCATGCACGGGTGCGCCCACCAGCAGGCGCTATGTGTGCCCGTGATGGAGCAGTGCACCTCACCTTTAAACCGGGAGTGAGTGCAGAGGCTGCACACGGCAGCCTGTATGTCCAGGGGCGGCTTCCTGTCCCTCCCCCAGCTCGCACTTCCCCCTGCCCTGTAGCACACGTGGCTCAAACGGACTAGCTCTGTTCTCCTAAAAGCACTTTGAAGGGTAGAGAATGTGGAGCAGGCTGGCCCACATCACAGAGCAGAAGTCAGTGATCTTCTCCCTGGGGTTCAAGGTCAGGGTGTTCAGGGTCCAGGGAGGGGCTGGGCCACAGGGGCGCAGGCTGGCGGAAGCCTGACTTCCTGGCTTCCCAAGTGGAGACGTGAAGCCCTACTTGTCTATGAAGTGGGTGAACGTCTACACGCAGGCACCTGATTGTGAAAACGTGCAGGCACAGCGCATGAGGCGTGCGCTGCAGCCTGACTCAGGCCTGAGACCACCTGTTGGCAGATCGTGCTTCACGCTGTAGATTTCCAACCCACGGACCACAGAACCACGGATTTCTTTGTCTAAGCTTGATTGTCAGCAGGCTGGTTTCTTTTCACGGCAGGCGGAAGCGGGGCCCTTTCGGAAACGCTTCCCACGTACTCACCGGGATTTTCAGGGCCCCTGTGAAGCTGATGGCGGCCGTGCCGCCCCCGCCGTCGGCCGGGAGGACAACGATGTGGTTCTGATGGACCGGGTGCTTTCCGTCCGACAGCAGCAAGCACTGCATCTCAGGGTCCTGGCGGTGAAACCCATTGGAAAGAAAAGAGGGAAGGAAAGGTGTTAGCAGGTGGTGCATCCGGCTGAACTGAGGCCGAACTCCTATGGCGGCCGCTGCTCTGCTAGGTCTTGGGGGTGTCCTGGGCCCCTGTGTCTTTACAGAATGCTACAAACATACAAAATCCTTTGAGCCAGCAATCTAGGACTCTATCTGTGAAAGATGATTGGAGAGGCGGAAAAATACGGCACGTGAACATCACCCCCCCATTGAGAACTGGTAAAGCACATCCACATCTATGACATGATCTTGTTGCAGTTCTTAAAAAAAAGCTTGTGAGACTTTAACACTTATGTCACATTAAATAATAAAACATTCAATACTGCATTTTTGTTACGATTTTAAAGAACATTTAATATGTACCTATTTTTCTATAGCTACGTGACTGGAGGGCCCTAATGACAGGGGAAAAGCAGCTGAATTCTAAGCTGACAGTGGGTACCGCTGACTGACAGAATTACATGTAATTTTTAGGGCGGAGTTAATGAATTCTTTACACGGTTCCTGTGACTTCTCAGGAGCTCACATTGGATGCAAGTTACCAGAAATAGCATTATTTTAAAATTCATAAGCCACTTCCCATATTCTGCAAATTCTGATTCTGGACATTCCCACAAGACAAAGTGTGCTTTCGTTTTCATTAAAGCGAAGAAGAGCGCTCCCCCGCTCGGGGACGGGGCCCAGCCAGGGCCAGGGTGATCTAAAGGTGTTCTTCATGGGTCAACTATGAAGTTCAAAGGCTTCCATCCAAAGCAATGTTTCTGCGCAGGTCACGCCTTCCACAAAGTGGGAAAGCACATAGTTGTGCTGTGCTTCTCTCACTGTAACCTATGCACGTTGGATCCAAGGTGCCGTTAAGTTGGAAGAAAGACACTGGCAAAGTGTTGCCACACTCCTCTGTGGACATTGAGAATTCTCTTCCGGTGAGAACCAGAAACTGCAAGGCCGGGCGGGGGCCAGTCCGACACCCGCCAGGAGCCCCGCGCCTCGTCCTCAGCCCAGAGCGGCCCGCGGTCCACACCTCTGGGGGGGTGGGCTTCCAGCGCCGCCGCGGCCTGGCCGTGAGAGCACTCACGTGTAAGCATACACTCTGATGTTTCAGACTGAGGATGACTGTCCCTGTGTGAACGCACATCCTCCTGAGGACAGTCCCACAGCAGCACATAGAAACAGGATTTCCATCTGAGTCTGCGCTGAATAAGCTTCTCTCTTGAGTGATGCTGGCTGTCCCGTTTAGGAGACCAGGTCGAGAGTGACCACACACCACAGACGCAGGGCTCGGAGGGGCTGCACCCTGGGCCGGTCACAGCAATCTCGGGGGTGGGGGCAGGCCCCGGGTGAGTCAGTGTGCAGTCAAGGCTGAAAACTGCGGGACAGGTTTTTTGTTTTTTTTTTTAAATTATGAATTTTCAGGTATGAATTAGATGCGAGAGGCCAGTCCCGCAGGTGTGGTATCATTTCACCAATTTCATGAAGATTCTCCCCAAACTCATACAATCTCCTATGTCTTATTAAACTGCTTCTTCTTTTTTTAAAATTTTAAAAAAACATTTATTTTTGAGAGAGAAAGAGACAGAACATGAGCAAGGGGAGGGACAGAGAGACAGGGAGACACAGAATGTGAAGCAGGCTAGAACTCACCAATCGTGAGATCATGACCTGAGCCCAAGTCAGATGCTTAACCGACAGAGCCACCCAGGCGCCCCTAAACATCCGACCGTTGGTCTCAGGCTTGTGAGTTCAGGCTCCACACTGGGTCCCATGTGGGGCTCCACGCTGGGTGTGGAGTCTATTTAAAAATTTAAAAAGTCCATTTCTTGGTTTGTCTTTACCTCTGTTTTTTTCCCTTTGCTCATTTGTTTGGTTTCTTAAACTCTACATATGAGTGAAGTCATGTGGTTTTTGTCTTTCTCCAATGGACTTATTTCTCGCGGCACAATCCTCTCCAGCTCTACCCATGTCACTGCAGATGCGAGATGACATGCTTTCCTACGGCTGAGGAGTGCTCCAGTGTATATGCACCTCATCGCCTGTCCCGTCCCTCAGTGAACGGACACTTAGGCTGCTTGCCTCTCTTGGCTACTGTAGGTAATGCTGCTACAAACACAGGGGCGCATGTATCCCTTTGAATTCGTGTTTTTGTTGTTTTTTGGGTAAATACCCAGTAGTGTGACTGCTGGGTCAAGGGTAGGGAGTTCTATTTTTAACTTTTTGAGGGAGCTCCGCACATTCCGGAGCGGCTGCGCCCGTGCGCACTCCCGGCGGCAGGGAAAATCGTTCTGACAGGTGTGAGGTGACACCACGTTGCAGATTTGAGTTGCATTTCCTCCATGATAAGTGATGTTGAACAGCTTTTCATGTGTCTGTTGACCATCTGGGTGTCTTCCTTGTGTCTGTTCGCGTCCTCTGCCCGTTTTTTAATTGGACTGTTTGCTTTTTGGGTGTTAAGTTGTATAAGTTCTTCATATAAAAGTTGTGTAAGTTCTTCATACCTGATACTAACTCTTATCAGATATTTCATCTGTAAATATCTTCTCCCGTCTGGGAGGTTGCCTTTTAGATCTGATGGTTTCCTTTGCCGTGCGGAAGCTTTTTCTTGATGAAATCCCAATAGTTTATTTTTGCTTTTGTTGCCCTTGCCTCTGGAGACACGTCTAGAGAGGGGCTGCTGTGGCCGAAGTCAGAGACGTTACTGCCCGTGTTCTCTTCTGGGATTTGTATCGTCTTGGGTCTAGGACAGGTGTTTTGTAAACACGAACGCTGACTCCCCAGTGGGTGAGACTCAGACAGATAGAGAGAGAACACAGAGGGAACAGACTGCTCAGCAAGAGAAGAGCGCCTCTAACTCAGAGCAGGAATTATACACAGAAACTCGCCTGGTCACAGCCCTTCCTGGTTCCCTAAGGCGTGTCTGGCTCACCCGCTGGGCTGGAGGAAAGCCCCGGATCCAGCCCCCCTGCCCCCCCCCCCCCCCCGCTCTTTATCTGAGCAAGCTTGGCCTTTGTGGGGAAGGCCTCCTGCTCACACCCACCATCTTTATGCACAGCCTGGGGGCTCCTACCTACCAAAGTCCAGTCCTCAGCAGTGTCTGGAGGAGACAGGGGGAAAAGGGAGTGTCATGGTGGGTTCTGCAAGACAAATCAGGGGGTGGGGTGCCTGAGTGGTTCAGTCCATTGGGTGTCTGACTCTTGATTTTGGCTCAGGTTATAACCCCAGGGTCGTGGGATCGAGTCCCAAGCGGGGATCCTCACTGGGTATGAAAGCCTGCTTGAGAGTCTCTCCCTCTCTCTCTGCCCTTCTCTGCTTGTGCTTGCTCTCTCTCAAGTTAAAAAAAAGAAAAAAGGGTGCCTGGAGGCTCAGTCTGTTAAGTATCTGACTTCGGCTCAGGTCATGATCTCATGGTTCGTGGGTTCAAGTCCCCCATCAGGCTCTGTGCTCACAGCTCAGAGCCTGGAGCCTGCTTCGAATTCTATGTCTCCCTTTCTCTCTCTCTGCCCCTCCCTTGCTCACGCTCTGTCTCAAAAATAAATAAAAATTAAAAAAAAAAAAAAACCCCCAGAAACAAAAACAAAACACCCCAAACAGGTAGGGGAAAGCTGCCTTCTCCTCACACCAGGCCCTGTGCAGCCCGTAGCTGGGCTGTGACAAAAGTCTCGCCTGGGCATTTGTGGGTCCCCACTGGTGTGCCATGTGGGGACACCTTCTGCATTTAAACACCCACGAGGTGCTCATCACGTGCTGGGTGAGCCATACACAGCCAGAAAGACCCTCAGAGAAGCCAAGGATGACAATGACGTGTGCCTGTAAGGGTGACACGTGTCGGCCACCACAAGCCAAGCATCATGAAGACCCAAAAGACGGAAGCGGGTCCACCTGGCTAGTGGTGTCGGGGCCGTGTCCCTCCATTTGCACCTGCTTCCCCACGTGCCCCTCGCTTCACACCTTTCCTCCTGAGGAACCACGTGTGGCACAGACACGGTGGCAGCGGCAGGGTGGGCGCCACTCAATTCCCGGCCCCCGTGGATGTGAGCCTGGTCGCTCTGGGAAAGCGGAAAACAGGGTGTCCTGCCAGACTTGAGGGACATCCCGCCTGGTGACCCAAGGGCCACCCGCAGTGGGTGAGCCCTTCCTGCCACACGGAAGGGACACAGGACCAAAATCTGCCCGGTCACGGGCACATCAGGGTCAGCTGGGCGTGGCCGGGCCTGAAGCGGGGCTCACCAGGGCCTCTCAACACACAACGGACATGGGAGTCAATGACTTTTGCAGAAGGTGCAGGGAAGGAACGAGGGGGTTACACTCAGGACACGCGGCATCAGAACTGGTGGGCAGTGCGTGGGGACACGGCGCCTGGGGTGTGTCACAGCCATTCGGACATCGACGAACGTCTGACGGTGTGGACGGAACATACGTGTTCCTCCTGATTCCTGTGCGGGGGCCTGAGCCTTGAGTGGTGGGCAGAGCCGTCACGATGGCATCGGGGCCCGAGCCCTGAGTGGCAGCAGAGCCATCATGATGGCATCGGGTCCTTGTAGGAGGGGCCCCGAGAGCCTGCGTGTCTCCCTGTGCTCTCACGAGCATCCAGGGACCCCAGATCCACTGGTGCCTGGATCGTGGACTTCCAGCCTCTGGACACAAATGTTTGAAATGGGAAAAAAAAAAATGCATGTCGTTGAAGCCGCCCAGTCCGCGGTGTTCTTGTAACAGCAGCGCAAACACACCCGACCGTTTAAGGCACACTCCACAGTGAGGACAGAGCTTAGAGCATTCCAGGCACATTTCCCTCAGTTCTGAGAACCAAGACGCACAAGACACCATTTTCCCCTATTCGGTTATTTCAACCACCACGAATACACTTTCTTAGGCAGTGAAGATAAAAGACAGTAAGAAGCCCACGTAGCACATTTATCCTTTAGTCTATTTGATTGAAAACGAAAACAGCCTGTAATTTCAATGACTAAACTGCACCCAAAACGCGCCTGCGGCTCTGTGCTCAGCGAAGCGGAGCCACACGAGAAAGTTCGTGGCACCATCCTGGAGGGGAGGGGGCCCACTGGGCTGCGGCGAGGCCGCTGAGCGCTGGTGCCCGTTTCCTCCTCTGTAACACGGGCGTGGCAGCGCAGGGGGCTGGGAGATGGTCTTCTGCCTTATCTTTCGGGCCCACCTCACCTGCAAGCCCTCCTTGTGTGGCCCCTCAACCCCCAACCCAGGTCCATGCAGACCCGCCCCCCTTCACGGCTCTGTCCACACCCCCTGCTTAGGGATGGCTCACCTGTCTAGGGGGGCCCTGTGCCTGGCACTTAGCTGCTGCAGGAAACTGCTGGTCTCCCCTCTGTCCCTCACCCCTGCCCCCAGAATGTGAGTCCACGGGAGCAGATGGGACCGAGACTGACATGCAGGGCGTGGCCCGAAGGGGAGCACACCTGGGACAGTGAACGCTGCCAACAGCCATTGAATGAGGGCGTCCCTTCCAAATTTGACGATACACTTAAAGTAAGCCCAGCCTACTGCCCAAAGAAATCGTGCAGGGGCGGACTTGGGTCTCACGGAGGAAGTACGGGGCCCCAGGCTGTCACGGAGGCAGGGCTCGGATTCCTGTGGGGCAGCGGGGGCCCGTGTAACTCACCAGAGGCTTTGCCTTGTCGTCCACGAAGACCGGCTTCTGCAGCCTGAACCTGTGGGCACCGTTCTCGTGGCCTCGCGGATGCTGCACAGAAGAGAGGAGTTAGCGCAATGCCCGGACGGCTGGCCGGTGACCACGGCTGACAGCGCTGGAGCCAGGGGCACCGGGCAGCGCCTCACAGGGAAACGAGACACGGCTAAAATAAAACAACGGGCTAACCGGGGGCTCTAGACCCTCAGACAAGAGAAGGTGGAAAGAAGTTCTTTCTCGAAGAATAACCCAAGGTTGAGGTATAAGGAAATGTAAAAATATTGATTATGTCAACCTAATTTTCCTTACTGGCTTTGACTTTTTTTTTAATGTTTATTTATTTTTGAGAGACAGAGAGAGACAGCGTGAGCAAGGGAGGGGCCGAGAGAGAGGGAAACACAGAATCCGAAGCAGCTCCAGGCTCCGAGCTGTCAGCACAGAGCCTGACACGGGGCTTGAATTCAGGAACCGTGAGATCATGACCTGAGTGAAGTTGGCACTTAACTGACTCAGCCCCCCAGGTGCCCGGGCATTTTTAAATGACTGAAGGGAAGGCCTGTAGGAACGATACAGTGTTTCTGTCTCACGGTGGAGCAGAGGCCCTGCCTGGGGAGCAGCCGGATTCAGGGCAGGGGCTGTCACGGGCACCTCAGTGTCTCAGAGCGCAGCCGCTGGGCCAGCTGTCACCAGCATTAATTCACAGCACAACCAAACACCGATCCTTACGACCTTGGAAACGGAACTCATGCTCGTGGCAGGAAAACGGCTTTTAAAATGTTTTAAAATATCAACTATAGTTTGTTTTTTTTTCAATGTGTTGTTTAACCTTCCTGAAGGCAGTGAGTTTCAAAGTCGGGTTTGTTTTAGTTCTGTAAGGTACCAGAACCTTCTTTTCAGATTAATTGTGCTTCAAGGCCCCAAGTGTTAACAGGGGGTCAGAGGAGAGTCTCAGGCTCCTGTAAGGGGGCCTTGGCGGTGGGCGACAAGAGCGCCGGCCCAGTGGGGAGACGGGCAGCAAGGGGTAAGCGGGTTTACGCCGGGTAAGGCAGGAGCCGAGGGAGGCCGTTAATCAAGTCAGTGACTCGCTTGGACTCCCCCGGCCGACTGTGGAGCTCAGGTGTGTCGGGGGGGGGAGGGGGCAAGTGCGGATCATCTGAGGAGACTGATGAGCAGTGGTTCATAGTGGAGAGGACAGAGCCGGGGGCCAGCGTGGGGGAGGTGGCTCCCAGCTGAGACAGGGCCCAGCGGGGGCCCAGCTGGTTGATGGGGTGGAGTGGAGACGCCCCCGATGCCTCTACGGGGTGGCAGGTGGGCAGCGGCCCGTGTGGCCGTGGTGCTGGCGGAGAGGCCCCGCTGGGGAGCCCAGGGGTGCTGAGAGCCAGGGCCCAGCGGTGCGGGCTCGGGCGAGGGGGGAAAGGCTGTGGTGCCGATGCATTGGGGGTGGGGGTGCAGGAAGGGGGCGGGGCCAGCAGAGCACTCTGCCTAGGCAGGGCTGGGTGCCACGGGAGGAGCAGGATGCTCAGGGTCAGGAAGAGAGAGCGAGAGGGAGAGGGAGGGAGAGAGAGGGAGGGAAGGGGCAGGGGGAGGGGAGGGGGAGGGGAAGGGGGAGAGGGAAGGGAGGGAAAGGGGAGAGAGAGGGGAGGGGGAGGGGGAGGGGAGGGGAGGAGGAGGGGACGGGGAGGGGGAGAGGGAGCGCGTTTCACGGTGGGAGGGGAAAAGGACATCACCCTGGAAACAGGCCACGCGGGGTGGGCCCAGACGAGGCAGCTGGGACCCTGCGGGCTGTTCGGAGGGACCAGTGTGGGCCCGAGGAAGGACAGAGGACGCAGGTGAAGTCAGCGAGGGTGACTCGCGGTATCTGCCCTACGGTCAGTGGGGAGCTGGGCGTGAGGCCACAGGGGCTTCTCCCGGAGAGGGGACAGCACCTGCCGGGAGCGGCTGGGGAGCCGGGGCCGGGCCGAGGTCAGCCTACGCAGAGCATCCCAGCCCAGACTGCTCCGCGCGTCTTGTCCGGGGGCCCGTTGCCATGGTCATGAGCAGCCCTTTCCTAGCACTGCCACTACTGTGAGGGTGGGACCCACGTCCATGCCAGGTGACCCACTGACACCGCCCAGGCCACCAGCCTGGCCGACGGCACACAGTCCTAGAAGCCGCAGGGAGGGGGAGGGGTCCTTACCGCCACCAGGGAGGAAGAGCAGGCGATGTCCTTCGGATCTGAAACAGCAAACGTGAACACGTGTGAGCAGGGGCCGAGCTTCCACCGCAAGACATTAAACCGAAACGAGCCATCTGGTACGTGACTGCAGGAGCCAAGACGGAAGAGAAGGAGCTGCCCGGGGGGGAGGGGTGCAGCTGGGCCACCCGCCAGGCCGCCCCACGCCCCCCGTCAGTCCCCAAGGCCGCGAGCTCCCCTGGCGCACGCGGAGAGGGAGCCACCAGCAACAGGAGACCATCACACGTGTGAGAACTGCTTTGCAACGTGGGCAATATTTCACGTGGGACACGTAAAAAAAGTGGAGCGTGTGATACGGCGAGAAGCCAGGGACAAGGCATTTAAGGGCAGGACTCAGGAGGACCCGTACAGACAAGCCCCTGGGAGCAGCCAGTCACCTTCGGCACCTGTGATGGGCCCTTTAACGTTATGGCGTGAATTACACATGAAAACTAGTGGGGACCAAACATCTATTTTGATATAGAGCAAAATTCCTTTTATCTAAATGCAAAGGAAGGAGAGGTGCAAAGCCACAGAGATGACAGCCAGACTCACGGCCACCAGGCGCCGAGGGACACAGCCCCCTGCTTCGGAGCCCAGAGGCCACCCTTAAACAGCTGGGCCCCTCCCCCACCAAGGATCCTGGTCCTCTTCTAACTTTAAACTTCCCACAGCTGAGTTCCCTCTGGTGACACAGGGGTGATAGCCACGGGGGGCCCGGCCGGGCCGAACACACGTCCTGCTGGACCAGGAGCTATTACACGCCCGCCCTGCCCGGCTGCTCGGCGCTGGCAGTGTCCGGGCACACCTGAGATGTGCCGTCGCTGCTTACGGTGCCATCGGTGGCGCCAGGCGCTTCTCCCCAGGAGGCCCCTGTGAGGCCCCCAAGGCCCAGTTGGGAGGTCACCACCCCTTGTGAGGCTTGGCCAGTCCCCACCATATGGCCTTTACTGTAGGGGGCATTAGCACAAAGGGCTCTTGGATGGGACACGCCAGAGAGCGCTTCCCAGGCTGAGCCAGGGGGGCCAAGAACAGCCCGGCCCCGGAGGAGGGGGAGCAGGAGAGGCCCAGGCATGAGAAGGGGGAGGAGGGGGTGGGAGAGAGCGGCAGGCGCGCGGGGGGCTGTCCCCTGCAGGCAGGGTCCTCCTGGCGGCATCGCCGTCGGGGCTCACAGCTGTGGCCCCGTCCCTGTGCACGCAGCCCCCGCTCTCGGGGACAGGGCACGGTGCCCGCTCCACTGGCAGGAAGGCTTTGACTGCCGCAGCTCTGTGCTGCTGTGGAGGACAGCAAGCAGCCCCTTAGATGGACGTGCCCGGTGGACTCGGGCTGACAGGTGACGTGTTGGCCACGGAGACGAGAGCCTGGCTGGGGCCTGAGGGAAGCGGAGAGAAGGGTCTGCACTTGCAAACCGGGCTCTCTGCTCGCACAAACCCCAGCACGGGGAGGGGGGGGGGGCATCAGGAGGCTGCAGAGGCCCCGACCCCCGAGGCCGGCGAGGGGCGCTGCTTCCAGGGGAAGGTCACCGGTGAGCACATGGGAGAGCCTGTCAGAGCCGTGCGCACAGAGAGGCCCCTCCGGGCCGCGGCTGCGGGGAGACGGGGGTGCACGCTGGGGGGCGGGAGGCACAGAGGCTCGGCCGAGGGTCCCAGGTCGCCTGCAGCGTGTCCAGGCCTCGGCCCCACAGCACCGCCCTGCCCAGGGCGCCTCAAGCCTCCCCGCTGGCCAGCACGCAACCTTGTCCCTCAGGCCAAGGACAACGCAAGCACAGGCCTCCGGACCACCTCCTGGGCGGGGTCCCCTGGCCTCAGGGCTCGTGGGGCTGGAGAAGGGGCGCTCCCGGGTCACCGCAGGTGCGGACGGACAGCGGGGCCCCAACCAGCGGTGGAGGGAAGGGGGCTCCAGGAGAGCCCCGTGTGGACCCTCTCTGCCTTGCCCCGCCCCCTCGGAAGCCAGGGGCGCCGTGGCTCCGTGGGAAGGGGGCTCTCATTCTCCTCTGGAGGACGGGCCATAGCTTCCTTGGAAACCCTGTCCTGAGTGGGGGACGCGGCCCTGGCTGGAAACTGAGCTGAACAGGCATTGGTGCCATGATCCCGGCCGGGCTGGCAGACAGCCTTCCTCCTTCCCCCAGAACCAGCCCTCCCTCGGTGGAGGAAGAAGGAAAGAGCTGCCGTGGACTAGACCTCAGGCAGGATGTGCGCTATTCTCCAGGCGACTGATGCGTCAGGAACACTCTGAGGGCGCCGGGACTGGGCTCCGGGCGCCAGGGAGCCAGCGTGGAGGGCAACACCCGTGTCCCACTCAGGGACCTGTCCCACTGCTGCGGCTCAGACACCCCGATCGGCCTCACAACTCACTCGTTCTGGCCCGGTGAACCAGCTGCAAATAGCGTCCTCGGCCCCCGGAGGAGGGGGGCGTGGGGGCGAGCCCCAGCCGCACCTCCCTGCTCACGCCCACGGTGCATCTGGGGCCTCAGTGGACCACAGGCTGGCTCTTGCAGACAAAGGCGGGCTCGGAGCCTCACACACCTGCATGGCTGGATGGCAGTTACTTTAAGATGGAAAGGTTGCCTTTAGCACCGAGAAACACGGGAGAGGCTGCGTCAGACAGGCCTGCACGTCCTGCGAGGGGAAGCTGGCGGCCCCGAACGCAGAGCTGAAGCGACGGTTTCCGCCGACACAGAGGGTGTCCCCAGGCGTCCCCGGGATAATGGGGGGGGGGGGGGGCTGGGCAGAGCCGTAGGTTCTACTTTGCTTGAAGCCAAATCCAAGAAGTAAAATGCCAAACGCGACCCTTCGGAACATCCGTGGGATGAGGACGCCCCGATGCCGGACGCTCTCAGTGGCTTCTCTGTCACGGGAGGGGCAGCCAGAGTCCCTGTCCCTGTCTGACCTCGATGTTGAAAACTGATTTCAAATGCAATTAAGTCACAAGTGTGGTAAGGAGTGTAGGATGGCACAAAGGATTTGGGTTCCTGGTAAAATGCTCTCATCTCGTTAGGATGTGCAACAATTTTATACCACTGTCTACACTGTCTAAGGTAGATCTTATCAGAAGGCAGACACGCTGGCGAAATACTGACCAGCCTGTGTCGGCAAGACGGGTGGGGGGGGGCAGCCACGCGGGCTGGCCGTGAGCAGCAGGGCGGGCCTGAGCCGGATGTGCCGTGCCAGCACCAGGCCAGCCGCGCCTCACCCTGCGGAGCCGGAGGGACCTCAGCATCGGTTACTCTAGCTATCAGGAGACAACAGAGCATCCAGCAAGATCCGGGGGAGAAGCAGCTCCCCAGAGAAGCCCGTCCTGAGGACGGAGGCTGCGTGCGAGGGGGAGAGCGGGGTGGCCGTGGGCCTGCGCTGGGCTAACACAGCCCATTCTCTCCACAACTCGCCCACAGAGCCGTCCCAGGTGCCGTCTCCAAGGCCGGGGGTACTTACGTTCGATGAGGAAGAGAAAGCACACGATGCCCATGGCTGCTACGATGGCCCCGGGCACGACGAAGGACAGGCCCCAGCACGTGGACACCCAGTAGCCGGCAATCAAGGAGCCCAAGATGTTGCCCACGGACGTGTGGGAGTTCCAGATACCCATGATCAAACCGCGCCTGCAACACAACCAAACACAAGGCGGCAAATGATGGCGAGACGCTTTGATGGACCAGCAGGCGCAGGGCAGAAGGGGCCTACGCCCGGCGAGAGTTGACACCGGCTGCATCAGGGAGCCCGGCCGGACACACGTCAGGCTGTGTAACCACACACCCCTCTCAGCTTAGTTATTCTGTGCTTACAAAGAGGAAAGCCTTTTCCTGAACTTCTTGGGAGGCCCCACATTTAAATCTGTGCCTCCGTAATCTAAATACAATCATTTGGGGCACCCGGTGGCTCAGTCAGTTGAACGTCCGACTGGACTTCGGCTCAGGTCATGATCTCACGGTTTGTGGGTTTGAGCCCCGTGTCGGGCTCTGTGCAGACAGCTCAGAGCCTGGAGCTGCTTCCGATTCTGTGTCTCCCCCTCTCTCTGACCCTCTATCTCTGTCTCTCAAAAACAAAATAAATCAAACCCAGGCTCTCGGAGGTGTTCTTGCTCTGGTTTCCCTGTCTTGTTCAGTGGCTCCCAGCGGGCCTGGTTGCGCTGTGTGTCACACAGAAATCGTAATGGGCCGTGGGCCCAACGCTGGGCTCTGCCGCTGGGCGCTACTCGGGACCTGTCCCCTTCCACGTGCCTTCCAGTCTTGGGAAGATGTACATGTTACTTCACAAGACCTGGGCCAGGCCCCAGGCTCTGCGCGTCGGCCAGGCTCGCAGGCGCAGAATGACAGGCTCAGCCCGCCCGCAACAGGGATGAAGGCCCGCCTGGATTTCAATCATCTTTCAGAGAGGAGGCTAGCAACAGCACCTTTTTCTGCAGGGAATCTAGAGTAACTAAAAATGAGGCGGTCCGGCTTCCATCAGAATCTTAAAAAATAAACAGTGCCGCAGGCGGGGTCACCTTTTCTCACCTTCCTTTTCCGAACCAGTTGCTGAGGCAGGTGACGACGCTGGGCCAGCCCGTGGTCTGCACCAGTCCGTTGATGATCTGTGACGGGGCAAAGGAGGCTGACGGCAGTTGGGAAAGCGCACGCGGCCGTCTTTGGGCCGGGCTCACGGGTGCTCCCCCCTCCACACCCCCAGTTCCTTGCGAGTCTGGGGACAGCTGGATGCCCACAGCAGCAAGGCAGCAAAGCCCTCCTTGATGGGAGCCTCGACCGCCAGAGAGGCGCTGTCAGCTACACACATCCACACGTCCACGGCTTGTGTCCTGAGCCTCCGAGACAACAGGCTGGACACAGAGCGCGAGGAGCGTTTCTCCACATTTTAACAGCACCCGGCTGACACTTTCAGAGGGTTCTGGAAGCGCGAGCAGGTCTGCCTGGGTCTCTGGGGCGTCGAGGGTCAAGTGCACGACAGGACCGGAAGCAGGTTCCAGCGAGGGCCCCCTGCAACCACCCTGGGCCTTCCCTCTAGGACACGTTGGGACCCCAGGAAGCTCTTTCACTTCCTTCTGATATTTCTATTTTACTATAAAGTGTGAAGGGCTGTTGTCGTTGAAACAGCCAAATTGTTCAAGCCCTATGGCAACACTCGAAAGAGCAAATTCTGTACAGTCTGCTTGGTTGACTTGATGATGCCCCCAGGCTCTGGGGAGCCTCAGGGGCAGCCATCAGGGTTTTCTGTCATTTCTCACTTGTGGCCACTATTTGCCCCCAGGATGGCAGGGCCGGGCCAGTGGAAAGGGCTGAGCCCCACGACCTGGCTCTACCCCCCTTGGAGCACCATGAGGCTCCCTCCTGGCCTCCCCACTGGCCTCCCGCAACCCCGACCTCCAGCCAGCAGCTCCAGAGTGCTCCCTTCCTCCCACCCCTGCCACACCCACGTCCCTCCGTGGAGACAGGACATAGCATCTCAGAGTCTTCCACACTCCTTGCCTCCATGCCCCGGAGGGCAGAGAGGCTTAATGGGGAGGATTTTATTTAAGAGGCAGGTCCCAGGATGAAGAAAGCCCTCACGGCCGCTGCAAGGACAGAGCTTCCTATGCCAGTGCTGACCCCGACGGCAGACAGGACCCCGTGCACCCTCCTCACCCCCTGCCCCGGGGAAGCCTTCTCTCGTGGCAGGGGACCTCACCTGAGTTACCACGTAGAATCCGAAACTGTGGATATCGTAGAAATACCCTAATCCAAACAGGGCGGTAAAAGCGCCGCTGGCCAGCATCCCAAAAGTTAGGTAATACCGAATGGGCAGGCGCTCCCCTATTATGCCGCTGAGGACAGAGAAGAAAGAGGGGAAACATGAGAAAACACACACATGCCCATGCGGAGAAGGGCCCGGGACCCAGCCGGATGTTCCACGCTGTTCTCGGAGCTTTCAGGACTGAAAGCACTACAGTTTCCAGGAAGATTTCATCACAGCCGTCTCCAGCGGCGCACTTATTAACCAGAAGCTGGCAACTGGCAACATCTTTTAAGACTCTATTTCTAGTAAAAGCCACTAACTGTCAAGTAACAAGCCTCAAACACTATGATTTGCCTATGGCGGTTGCCAATCAAAACAGCCCAAAACTTGCCCTGCCAGTTAAACATGCTTTTCTGTAAACAGCATCCGGTAACTGTGCACAGGAGTCAGGCCCCCGGACGGGCAGAGGTAGACGCGTCACGAAAGGATCAGCTGTGGCCTCGCTGAGTCTCTGGGCCCCCGAGCGGTCAATGAGTCCCCTGCGTTAACACGCCGGGCTGGAGGGGCTCTGCCCACCCGACAGCACCACCGCGACCGGGTTTGGAGACAGCCTGTCCTGAACGTGAAGTTGGAGACAGGGGGCGCTGTGCTCCTCTTCACCTGCAAGGTGGCTCCCCCAGGGGCGGCCGGGGCAGAGAGAGCTCAGTCCCAGAGGCGTCTGGTCCTCCCGGGAGGTCACAGCGGGTGAAGGGCCTGGTGCACGGTGGCCTCTGACTGCCTTAGGAGAAGGGCCGCCGTGGGGCAACTTGACACTGTCACTTGTTAAGGGCACAAAATCCAGAATAATCACAGGTGACTGGGAGGTTTTTACAGCTACGAAAAACCACGGGTCACATTTTCTTCCACGTGGCTGTCCCGGGAGTTGATAAACAAGAACCGTAATGGAGAGTGACCCCCACCTGCCCGGAACAATGCTCTGGGAACACTCTCCGCCACTCTGTCTTTCATCCCAAGAGCCAACACACCTGAAAGCCTGACCTTCCGGAGTCCCCAGATAAAGCAGAGTGACTGAGCGCCACGCCAGTGACGAAGGCAAACGACTGAGGCAGAGGCAGTAAGTTAAAATTGGAAACAACATTCACGTCACATTTTAAGTTGGGTAGGAACCGGTCATAAACTCAAGAGCCTTCTAGAGCCAGACAAGTGCTCTGTTTCAATCTGCTGGCTTCAGAGAAAATGTGTCTGGGGGGGGACGGGTGGGCTGACCTGTGTGACGTCACAGGACAGAGCTCGTGCCATCGGCCAGGGCCGACTAGTGTTCTCCCGTCTTGCCCTACGCCACCGGGCCCAACGTTAGTCTCTGCTTCCAAGGTTTTAAAGAAAAGGCCTCATGGAATGGACGCCATTCAGCGTTACGCCTGATGCATGGCGGGACTGAAGGCCACGGCCCGCCTGCTAGGAAGGCCTGGGTGGACGAGGCCGCCCTCTGTAGACAACTCACCTGACACACTAACAATCTGTTCCATGAGCCGCATGCCCTGATGTCACTAAAAGGCCATCCAAAGAAGCACTGAATGCCCGCCACAGCCACGAGCCTACTGTGGATTCTTCATAGACAGACTTTTATAATAACCCTCACGGGCAAGTGGCATGACAAGTTATCTGTGCTGCTACACAAGCAACAGAAAGACCACCTTATTTAAAGTCTTGACCTCAATGCTCTGGACATGTGGGTCACTCTGGGCCATAGCAGGCTCAGCGGCCCTGGCCTCTGCCCACTGGACGCCAGAAACACCCCCTTGTCCGGCTGCGATGACCAACCTTGTTTCTGGGTCCTGCTACCTGTTGCCTAGGGGACAAAATCGCTCTGAATCGAGAACCACACTTAAATACTGGTTTCTAGTAACTGGGAAAAACACAGTCCAACCTTCTGGCCTTTTCATACTATAGATTATTGGTGTGCAGAAAGGCCGCGGTCTGTAGAATATGAATATGTGACATTCATTCATTCACACCACGTCTGCAGTAGAGAGGGGCCATCCACTCCAGCAACACAAAGTGGCTGACTGGGCCTTGCCACCCAGCCCCACCCTGAGCGGGGCGCAGGGGCAGATGTGGACGATGCCACACTCTGGGTGGATGGCTGGAAGCAGCTCACCTCTTACAGGCGTCCCCATGATTACTCACAGCTCCAAAGATCACAGGGTCTCTGAGCACATGCCTCCTGAGCTGAAGGCCTTCAGTCCCTATATATATATAGGGACTGAATATACATATATATATATATATATATATATATATATATATATATGTATTTTTTTTTTTTTTTAAACCTGGCTGGCCTGATGCAACACCGGTTTAATCAGCTGATAACACGTCCACCTTCCTAGGTCAACCCAGAATGGGGTCACAATCACACATAACTGATGCTGGGAATGCTCCACAGGCCGGGCTCTGCTCCGCACATGCTATCCTCACCGTGATCCTAGGAGTCACCTACTATTCTCCCCATTTCACAGAGGGGAAACTGAGCCCAACGAGGGGCAGCACTAGAGTCAGATTCACTCCCAGCTGCATGTCCCTGGGGCCCACGCCCCGGCCGCAAGGAGGACGGTGAGGTGCTCTGTTTGGGGCGGGTAGGCAGCCAGGTGGACGTGCCCGGCACACTCTCTCTAAAAGGCTGTGACACTGGTGACCTGGGACGTGAGCAGATGGTGGCCCCAGGACAGAGGGGAGGATGTGCCCCGCAGAGCTCCCCGGGAGCCACGAGCACCCTGGCCCCTGCGACCATACTGCGGCAGGGATAATGGGGCCCCGAGAGCCGTCCCCGGACGGTCCGCCGGATCAGCACAGCACCCGGGGCATCTACACCCACCGCTCTGCGGTCTCGTGTGGATCAACCCAGCACTGCACTTTCCCCTCGTCTCTGAGGAGAGACGGGAAGGTAAGCGACCTGCGGACGCAGCCTGCGGTGACCGGGCGAGGGCGCGGGCACACCCACCTGAGGTACATGCCGATGGCGTAGGCGCACAGGAACGAGTAGTCCAGGGCCCCGAGAAGCTGTTGGTAGTTGTCCTGGTCTACACGGGGTGAAAGTCAACAGGAAGCGGTGAGTGTGGCTTACTTCCACTCAATACCTGTCCGTGCTCTGGGGCTGGGGGATGAGGCATACACGCCTGCTCCCTACGCGTGGGCAGAGACTCGGAAGGAGAAAGGGGCAGCTGTGAGCACAGAGAAAGTGCCAGCACATCTGGGCGGCTTCTCGACACAGGGCAAGAAAGCCGCCACGTTTTCAAGTGATCACTAAATAAACATTACCTGGATTCGAGAAAATCGCCACTGTGCACAGTGAGCGTGTGGTTTATTCACAGACTCTGCCCCCCGAGTTAGTCTGGCTTTTCGGCAGCAGCCCCAGGCCAGCCCCCGCCCCGCACCCCTGGGGGCTCCCTCTCCTGCCCAGCACAGTCTCTGCTTGCCAAAGCGTGGCTCTCATCTTTGACAGACACAAAATACAAGTCCCCTTGAGCTGATCTCCCCAGGAAGAGACTCTCCGGGGCGTCAGAGGCTCGGCACGCAGGCGCTGCCGGCACAGGAGCTGGGGAAGGGGCGAATGGGTGACAGGAGAGAGCTGTCCCCGGACAGGCGGTCACGGCCGAGAACACGGTCACTGCCACCCAGATCGGCGAGGCTGCCCATGACTCTTAGCACTGGCACGAGCCCGCAGGACGGAGCGCCAGGAACGGGATGCACGCGGGTAGGCGGACGAGAACTCACCGAACGGGGCCCAGCTGCAGTCAGTCTCGTTGTCTCGTGGATGCTGGCGGGTGCTGTCACTGGCTTTCTGGCTCTGGCTGCTGAATCGGACGCCGCCCTCGTGCAGCGTGGCACAGTACCGGTGCAGCTCACCCTAGGGTGGACGGGGGCAGCCGGGGCAGAGGGCGCGCTCAAGTCAACCCGGGGGCTCGCGGCATTCGAACAGCCGCCCCCTCTTTTCAAAGCCGTCCCGGGGCAACCACGCTCTGGGGGAGCACGGCCCTGATGGGCCGGTCCGTCTGCATGACCCACAGGATGCCTGCAGTGCCCGAGGCTGCCCAGGCCTCCACCACCCCCAACCCTGAACACACACACAGCCCAAGCAGGCTGGTGACAGTTGGGTCCCGCACACAACCGCACAGCTGGGAGCTGCCTGCCGTGGTTCAAGGTGGCTTCCTCGTACCGGATTTACACAGCCAAGTACGGGCCCCGCGGAGCAGGAGAGCAAGGCCCAGGTCCATGCAGACAGGACAAATCTACCCTCAGAAGAAGCCTGACGTGAGGAGTGCGAGGTGCGGTGACGGTGTGGCCACCGAGCTCACCCGCAGGGGGCCGTGATGGGGGCGGGGCAGGCAGGCCTGGAGCGGGTGCTGGAAGGGGCCCGACCCTCACCGGTCGTTTCCCAGGCGAGTGAGTACTATATGCCAGGCTCAACGCTTCAGATCTGCGGACGTTACTGTGTGCAAATCATGCCTGAGTAAGACTACAGGGCAGCCGGGGCACGATGCCACCGGCCACCAAGTTGTCCCTAGAGCCACAACGCAGCCAGGGGCGGAGGACGTGTAAGGCTTGGAGCTCTCTGGGTGATGGGCGTGGGGGCCTGAGGAAGCCGCTCCCACCTGCCTCCGTGTGCCCGCCTGCAGTCAGGGCTGCCCCCGCCCCAGAACTCGGTGGGATCGGCGGTGCTGTTTGGGGGCACCAGGAACGGCTGAAGCATCAGGCACAGGGGATGCGGGGGGCGGGGGGCACAGGGGACGCAGGGTGCTCCCTTCCAGGAAAGGGCCCATCTTACTACGGGGGAAGCTCCGTGCGTTGGCCAGTCTGCCTTTCAGCCCCACAGTCCCTGTCTCCCCTCCCCCGGCCTCCCCACCCCCCGTTGCCTGCTGTGCGTTTTCTGGGGTTTTCTGCTGCCCAGGGCTCAGAGGAAGAAGCAATCCCCCAGGGGTGAGTGAGGGCGGGAAGGAGGCATCCACAAGGCCAGGGAGGGGGCCTTAGCGGGAGCAGGGGCCCTAAGCGGCGTTCTTTATTGAGCTGCGGTGTGAGAGACGGGGCCTGGGGTTCGTGAGGAAAGCTGGCACCAGAGGGAGCAGCGGCCACACGTCCTGCCCACCGACTCCTCCCCTGGCACCCGGCTCTTCAAGAGGGTGTCACCCAAGAGGCCGCCCCAGACGGCCGCCCTTGCCAGGGCTGTGGTCAGCCTGGGCTGGACACCTCCGGCTTTGCACGGCCACATGCCACCGAGGCCTGGCAGGGCACACGGGCCTCAGCCACTCTGCGGTCCCGTGGCTTTGTCATCTTGCTAGGACACTCTGCAAGGATTCAAACCTCACCCCAAAAACTCACCGAGGGCTCCACTTTAGAAACTCAGTTAAGTCTTTGCAAGATAGCCTTCCCTGCCCCCTCCCAGATCCCGGGGTCCCCTGCCCTGCACCCAGCAGGCGACCCTTCCCCATTCCCCCGGGTTCATACGTGGCTCCTCCCTTCCCTGCAGAAGTCACCTTCCCCTGGGCCAGACCCCGTGCCTCACTGCCCTCGGTGTCCACCTGTCGCTGAGAAAGCTGCGGGCCAGCTGGGTGCGGCCCGGCCAGCTGAGAGGGGACGGGGGACGGAGGCTGTGGAGCGCTGCTCCGGACGGGGCTTCTGCGTCCCCTCGGACCAGGAAAGACTGGAAAGGGCCCCTTCTCGTGTCATAAACAAGCAGAAAGGGGTTTCTGTTTCGGTTTGTCCCGTGATGAGGGGTGACTCTGAGCTGGGACCCCGGTGCCGCGTGCTGGCCTCCCGCTGCTTCCCCGGCCGCTGGGAGGGCGCGGCGACTTCTGCCAAGGTAGGGGCCCCCACTCGCCCCAGCCCCGGTGGCTGCACCGAGCCCCTCCCCAGCCCACACCCCTACTACTAGCACCGCGACCTCCACCCTCCGGGCCACTGAAGGCCTGCAGGCGAGCCAGGAAAGGCCCCGAGGATGCTGGTTTCCATGGCCACGTGCTGGCTGTCAGCACCCAGTCTCACTCCCACCCCTGGCGTGTGAGGGGAAGGTAAGGACCAATCAGGGCAGGATGGACTGACCAGAAAGGCCCTCAGCAGGAGAATGGGTTTGTGCCCTGGTGTGAGAGCTTAGGGAGCTAGTCCGTGGCCCTTGCCAATCTTTACACGAAAGCTTCAACAGGAGACATAAAATTAACGGACACGTGACACCAGGCCGTCAGTGAAAGCTGAGCAATCAGAAGACTGTGTGGCCTGGAGGCTCCAGATGTGCCATCGTCCAGGTTATTTACCACTGTCCACGTGACACACGGCGGGACAGCGACCACAAGCAAATGCCGCGGGGGCCACGGGGATTGGAAAGACATCCTGGAAGTCCGCAGGATGGGAGGACACGGCACACAGCCGCGCACACAGCCTCGGGGCCGCAAGAGTGCGGGGCTGGGGGAGGGGCGGGCAGTGGCGGGTGGGGGGGGGCCCTCCCCTGCTGTACCTGCCCCCAGCGGGCAGCACGGCCTTTCCGAGGTGCCGATGTTCTACGCACACATGTCCACGCAGCCCTAGACGCACGTGTCTTTACAGGGACGCACGTTTACAGAAGGCTGTTGTTGAGGCTTGAACTTGAGCCAAGACCCTCACGCACTCATTCATCCCACCACTTAGATAAGAGAGCGCATGCATGCGTGTACATGTGACATGTGAGTGTGGACGTAGTATACGTGCAGGGACACGTGTGGTCAGCTTTCTGTGGTGCACAGAGCGGCATGGGTCCACTGGCTTTAACTAGGCCTTTACACTCCTTTTATACGGCTCTAGGTTAAAAAAACTAGCCAAGGCATTGTCCAGAGAAGTCCTAAAAGAGAAAGGGAAGTTCTGGTGCCTGCAGCAGTCCGAATGCCTGTGTTCCCCCAAATTCTTGTGTTGAAACCCGCCCCCCAGTGATGGAGCAGGGGCGGGGCCTCTGTGGGGACAGCAGGTCCCCTACGTGAGGCCACAGGAGGCGGCCGTCTGCAGAACGGACCTCGCTGCCACCCTGATCTGGGACTTCCGGCCCCAGGACTGAGAGCGGCACAGGCTGCTGCTGGTGAGCCCCCCCGCCCACGGAACTTGCTAGAACAGCTTGAGTGCCGGAGACGGGCCAACAGCGGGAAGTGGAGGGAGACGTGTGTGTGCTCAGCTGGTCTGTGGGGTCCACCGGCACCCCAGGACGGTGCTGCCCGCACGCGCCCACCGACACAGGTGCACGGAAGGGCGGGGGGGACTTTCTGCTCCTGTGCGTCCTGCGGTTTTCAAAAACGGGAGAGCTGTATACAGACTTAAGTGCCCCTTACTCTCCTCTCTCAGAAAACCTCTTGAAATCTTTCTGTGTCAATGGTCTGGCCCTGACTAATTCTTGTTCTGTTTCTTCATGTTTATTTTTTAAAGTTTACTTACTTACGTAATCTCTACACCCAATGTGGGGCTCGAACTCATGACCCCAAGATGGAGACCGCGCTCTCTTCTGACTGAGCCAGCCAGGCGCCCCTGTCATTCTTTTAAGTGGTTGCATGTACCAGCATATGGACTGGCCACAATTTACCAAACTTTCTTTCACATAATATGCAGGGTTTTGTCCCCTCCCCCCCCTTTTTTTTTTGAAATTGCAAACAGTGCTACGGTAAAGATGCTTATGCAGATTTTCCTAACTATGGCGGCGCTTTAATTTAGTGGGCGAGGGTCTCAGGGTGGGCTGAAGGGTGCATATTCTTTCATCTCGGAAGGTGATCACAGAATGTCCCCCAGAAGGTGGGAGCCCTGCCTCCCCATCCCCAGCGCCCAATAGTCGCCCTGCTCTCCCTGCCGTGACGACGACAAGCATTTACACGGTGGGTGGGACGCGATCAAGTGCCACTCTCGCTTGCCTTCATGACTGCTCTCGCCCGGCCCTCCGGGGTCTGTGAAGGACCTGCCCCATCCCCTCTGGCCGGCGGCCTTTGGGTTTGCCACCTCCACACCTCTAAGATGCGCACAATGTTCACACTGGCATCTTTAATGCATCCATTTATTTTTATAAGAAAGAGATTCAACTTTATTCGTGAAGATGAGTGGCCAGCTGTGCTCATGCTGTTTGCTAAATACGCTACACTGTCCCCAGCCCCTTGGTCGGCCACGCCACGTTTTCTGCTCTTTTCTACTGACCTCTTGGTCTGTTCTCATGCAACAGCACAGAAACTTGATCGGGGTGGCGTAGTTTTTTCTCGGTCATTAATTCCTGGACATTTTCCCACATACGTTCTAGGGAGATTTTGCTCAGTTAAAAAGACACTGCGGCAGGGGCGCCTGGGTGGCTCGGTCAGTTCAGTGTCTGACTCGATCTCGGCTCAGGTCATGATCTAACGGTTTGTGGGATTGAGTCCCACGTCGGGCTCTGCGCTGACAGATTCTCTCTCTTCCTCTCTTTCTCCCTCTCTTCTAATCATGCTCACTCTCTCTCTCAAAATAAATGAACTTACAAAAAAAAAAAAAAAAGACCAGACACCGCTGCATCCCGTTGAAACCCGCACACCAGGACACTGGCCATCCTACCCACGGTGTGTGCCGTCGCCAGCTTCCCCGGCATCTTCTGTCTGCTGCTGAGGGTTTCACACCTTCCTTCCTACAGGCCCCGTAGGCAGGGAGGACTGGGCGCTCACACTCAGACGGGTGGGTGTCCCCATTCCCGAGGGGCACAGGGCTCCCCTGCAGCTCCCCACAGAAGCCCCCTGCTGTCAGGTATGCTGGGGCCCAAGGGGGCGGCGCGGTGGGGAGGACGGAGCCCCCAGCTGCACCCAGCGCCCAGCGCAGGCCCCGCCAGCACACAGCCTTGAGGCCTGAGGCTGGGCTGGGCAGCATGTGGGGGGGAGGCCGCACCCGCCCCACCCCCCGCCACGCCCTCCATACCCGGCTCTTCATCACCGTCACCTTTGCTTTCTTTTCGCTCCACTAAAGTCAGGGAAAAAGGAAATGTCTCGATAGCGGTTAAAGGCACGTCTAAACAGAGTAGCCTAAATCTGACATGACCTATGTCCTGTCACTCCACAAATGTCGTGAAAGAATGTGAACCGCTTTATAATTCACAGCCACTGGTGATCAATTCCAGGTGAGCAAATATATTTTAACTTTGGTTTGTTCAGAATGTGTTAGGAAATCCAGGCCACAGACGATTCAAACTATTCCTTGGTCACCAGAATCATCCCCACTTCTAGTTTTATATAGAAAATGTCCAAGCACGTGAACACTCCGTCAGGTGTTATAAAGCTTCAGCTGCTCTAGGGAGTGGGACCTCCATCTCAGGAGAAGAAACCTCATCAGCACGATCAAGTCCATGTCCATGGACAGGCCCACGGAGGGTGCTAAGTCTGAAAATCGGCATGTGAAAGGCTGCGGATGTTCTCAGGTGGCCCACGCCCTTGGACCCCGAGGCACAGAGGTTGAGGGCAGCGGCCCTGCAGAATTCGCCGGAGCTGGCACTGCCCTGCGTGAAGGGACGGGGCTGCTGGGTCCCCAGGCCTGCTGTGGGGACTCTGTTCAAGGATGAACAGGGTGCCCTGACCTGCGGCGTGGCTCAGCAGGCACTCTGATGGACGCAGTTCTCACACAGGAGCCGATGGGGCACCGCCTCACCAGTAAGCCCCAAGCTCCCGGCGGGGAAGGGGTGGGGTGCCCCACGACAAGGCTACATCCCTTCCTGACCCAACAGGGGCCCTCCTGATAGCGCATCGGGTCCGAGTGTCCTGTCCCGCCACCAAGTCCTCCAGTGGCCGCCCCTCCCCTCCCAGCCCTGCCTGTGTGCCTGCACAGAGCCTCTGGCCCCCAGGCGGGCTTCCCGGTGAGGGCTCACCCTCCACCCCTACTCCAGGCGTCCACCCCCCACCCAAGGTCAATCCTGAAACCCCAGCAGGCTGCCCATCTACTCCTGTTCTTTCAACCCCACGGTGCTCACCAAGACCCCCCCCCCCAACCCCTACCCCACGGTTTCTTCCATTCTTGTAACTTGCCTGTATTGAGCTGTATGTGTGCTTCCCTAACAGGGAGGATGAGGAGTGGCAGCATCGAAATGCAGTGGCTGGTCCTCGGTACGACTGTGGAGCCCCTGGTAGGGGGCGTCAAATCCCACTATCTCTTGTCCCTCCATGGTCATCAAAACTTGGCATATCTAAACTCCAGCCACGCGAAGGGCATGGAAGATTCTTGCTTGTTGGGGGTCAAAGAGAAACTGAGGGATCCTCTGGGCAGACAGATGCTGTTTCACACCCACTGGGCATCACTGGGGGGTGGGAGCACGAAACTCCACAGAAGCAGTGGCCATGTTCGGCATTCCCGCTCCCACGTGCCCGAAGACAGAGAGGCCGGCGCTCAACCCCTGGGCGGGAAGGGAGGAAGCGTGGCTATAAAGGTCAGAATTATGGTGCCGGATCTGCGTCCCTGCCCGTGACCAGAAGGTGTGGGGGCGGGCAATCGAGCACTGACTAAGTGATCATTTGACAGCTGACAATTTCCTTGTTCCTTCTACAACCAAGAGTCAAAAGCCTTGACAGTCTACAGGCAAAATGAGGTCATTTCTATGAGGGTAAGAAAATTATCTTGCTCCTTCCCCAGTTTTAACTGGCTATTATGTAGGATTGCCTTTAATCTTCTTTCCTGAAGTCTAGTTAAATGCCCTGTTGAACAACTCGGCACACACCCATCACTCAAACAGAAGCTCGGGTTCCAAGGAGAACGGGGTGGGGGGGGGGCGAGGGGCATCCCCACAGCCAGACTTAGGATGGGGGCACAATGACAGAAGAAGCACCTTGGGGAACAATTTCAGAATGGGTGTATCTGGAGGGGAAATTCACGCAGGACAGAATAAATATTGAATTAAGCTTTAGAAATCTACAACTGTCAACTAACAGGGCGCCTCTAAAGTTACAAACCCTAAAAACATTTTGAAGATGTTCATTTCAGAAAACAGAAACCAAGGAGGAGAACTTGCTTCTAAACCATCATTTTCTCCATTGGTCTCACCACCCTCCCCCATCCCCTCCCCCGCTCCCAAACCGATTCCTAAAGTAGCTAGTTCCTTACAGAATTTATAGACAGGATAGGAAACGAGGTGCTTTTTATGGTTTCTTACCTTCACTATGCTGATAGGCTTTCGGGATAAGTGGAAACTTGCATACAGCAAAAATGTCAAAATAAAAATGAAGGCTCTGTACCTGAAATACAGAACAGAGGTAGGGAGGTGACATAAAATAACAGAAGATGCATTAGGAATACATTATAGTTCCCTTGCCTCAGGAGACATATCTAGGAAATATTGCTAGGGGCCGTGTCAGAGGAAGTTCCTGCCTGTGTTCTCTTCCAGGATTTTGATGGTGTCAGGTCTCATGTTTAGTTTTGAGTTTATTTGTGTGTGTGGTGTGAGAAAGTGGTCCAGGTTTATTCTTCTGCATATCGCTGTCCAGTTTTCCCAGCACCACTTGTTGAAGAGACGGTCTTTTTTCCATTGCATATTCTTGCCTCCTTTGTTGAAGATTAATTGACTGTAAGATCGTGGATTTAGTTCTGGGTTTTCTGTTCTGTCCCATTGATCTATGTGTCTGTTTTTGTGTCAGGACCGCGCTGTTTTGGTGACTACAGTCTGTAGTAGATCCTGAAATCTGGGATTATGATGCCTCCAGGTTTTTCTTTTTCAAGAGTGCTTTGGCTATTTAGGGTCTTTTGTGGTTCCACACGCATTTTAGGATTATTTTTTCTAGGTCAGTGAAGAATGCTCTTGGTATCTGATAGGGTTTGCACTGAGTCTATTGGTTGCTTTGAGTAGTAAAGACATGTTAACAATGTTTTTCCGATTCAGGAGCATGGAATAACTTTCCATTTCTCTGTACCATTTTGAATTTCTTTTGTAAATGTTTCATAGTTTTCAGGCATTTCACCTCCTTAGTTAAGTTTATTCCTTGACATTTTATTGGTTTGGGTACATTTGTAAATGGATTTGTTTTCTTAATTTCACTTTCTGCCACTTCATTATTAGTGCATAGAAATACAACAGGGGCACCTGGGTGGTTCAGTCCATTATGTGTCCAACTCTTGATTTTGGCTCAGGTTGGGATCCCAGGGTCATGGGATCGAGCTCTGCTTTGGGCTCTGCACTGGGCATGGAGCTTACTTGGGGTTATCTCTCTCTACCTCTGTTCTCCTCTTCCCCACTCATGCACTCCTTCTAAAATAAAAATAAATAAATAAAATGCTCTAATTACACTAAAAAAAAAGAAGTGCAATAGATTTCTGTGCATCGATCTTGTATCCTACAACTGTACTGAATTCATTTATCAGTTCTAGTAGAGTTTTGGTGAACTCTTTTAGGTTTTCTATATATAGTATCGTATCACTTGAAAATAGTGAATTTGTTTCTTCCTTACCAATCTGGATGCCTTTTCTTTATTTCTTGTTGCTGTTGGAGTACTGAAACTAGGGACTTCTAGTACTTTGTTGAAGAGCAGTGGTGAGAGTGGACATCCCCGTTGTGTTCCTGACCTTGGGAGAAAAGCTCTGTTCCTTCCCGCTGAATATGAGGTTTGCTGTGGGTTTTTCATATACGGCCTTTATGATGTTGGGGTATGTTCCCTTCAGACCAACTCTGTTGAGTTTTCATCATGAATGGATATTGTACTTTGTCAAATACTTTTTCTGCATCCTTGAAATGATCATATGGTTTTTATACTTTCTTTTATTGATATGAGGTATCACATTGATTGCTTTCTGAAATCAAACTACCCTGCATCCCAGGAATAAATCCCACTCGATTGTGGTGTATGATTTTTTTGATTTATGGTTGGATTTGGTTTGCTAATATTTTGTTGTGGACTTTCACATCTATATTCATGAGAGATATTGGCCTGAAGAGATAAAAATCCTTGAAGAGAGGGGCACCTGGGTGGCTCAGTCAATTAAGGGTCCAAGTTCAGCTCAGGTCATGATCTCATGGTTCTTGCGTTTGAGCCCCGCATTGGGCTCTTGCTGGCAGTGTGGAGCCTACTTGGGATTCCTGCTCTCTTCTCTCTCTGCCCCCACCCCACTCCTGCTTTCTCTCTCTCTCTCAAAATAAATAAACTTAAAAAAAAAATCCTTGAGGAGAGCACAGGCAGTAATTTCTCCAATATTGGTTACAGCAATATCTTTCTAGATATGTCTCCCAAGGCAAAAGAAATAAAAGTAAAAATAAACTACTGGGACTACATCAAAATCAAAAGCTTCTGCACAATGAAGGAAACCATGAAGAAAACTAAAAGGCAACCTACCGAATGGGAGAAGATATTTGCAAATGACATATCTGATAAAGGGTTACTATCCAAAATATATGAAGAACTGTTACAACTCAACACCCAAAAAATGAATTCCCCAATTCAAAAATGGGCAGAAGACATAAACAGACATTTCTCCAAAGAAAACATCCAGATGGCCAACAGACACATGAAAAGATGCTCAACATCACTCATCATCAGGGAAACACAAATCAAAGCTACACTGTGATATCACCTGACACCTGTCAGGATGGCTAAAATTAACAATGTGAAAAACAGCAGGTGTTGGCGAGGATGCAGAGAAAGGGGAACCCTCGTGCACAGTTGGTGGGAATGCAAACTGGCGCAGCCACTCTGGAAAACAGCGTGGACGTTCCTTGAGAAGTTAAAAATAGAATTACGCCACGACCCAGTAATCACACTACTGGGTATTTACCTCCCAAATGCAAAAGCACTAATTCAAAGGGATATGTGCACCCCTATGTTTATAGTAGCAGCACCTACAGGAGCCAAATTATGGAGGCAGCCCAAATGTCCACCAACTGATGAATGGATAAAAAGGATGTGGAACATATATACAGTGGAATATTACTCAGCCATAGAAAAGTGAAATCTTGCCATCTGCAAGGACGTGAATAGAGCTAGAGAGCATAATATTAAGTGAAATAGATCAGTCAGAGAAAGACAGATACCATATGATTTCACTCACATGTGGAATTTAAGAAACAAACAAACAAGTAAAGAAAAAGAGAGAAGCAAACCAAGAAACAGACTCTTAACAAGACACGGATGGTCGTCAGAGGGCAGGTGGGTGGGGGGAAGGGTGAGTAGGTGATGGAGATTAAGAGGGCACTTACCATGATAAAAATAAGTAAATAAATAAAACACTATAAACATATTGTATTTTAATGTATTTAACGCACTTTAATTTTTTTTAAATGTTTTTATTTTATTTGTGAGAGAGAGAGACAGAGCACAAGTGGAGGAGGGGCAGGGAGAGGGAGATACGGAATCGGAAGCAGCTCCAGGCTCCGAGCTGCCAGCACAGAGCCCGACGCGGGGCTCGAACCCACACCCAGGAGATCATGACCTGAGCCAAATTTGGACGCTTAGCCGACTGAGCCCCCCGGGGTTGAATGTATTTTAACTTGCCTTATGCTGTATACTGTTCACTCAGTCCCAGAGTGATGCATTGCTGTAATACGATGTTAAAAATATCTGCCACTTTTGCTTTGTCCAAATTGAATCTATTTAAATATTCATTAAAAAAATGACTGCGGCCAAAGAGAAATTTGAGACGCAGAATACGAACAGGATTCCCGAAGTAGCCATAAAGAAACCATTATCTAGTTTGTAACAGAATGAACTGCAAATTTCGTGTCAGCCTGCTGCCGGGGCGTTTCAGACCCTGTTTATCCCTTACGCGTTCGCTGCGGTGCGAATTGCTGGAGGACACGGCAAGGCAGGGATACAAACACCTCAGTGACCTCCGCGAGACAGTCGGTGAGGCGGGCGCGCGGCACTCAAGGCCAATGACCCCGGAAACCCTGGCCTAGAGCCTTGCTGGCCTTCTCGGCGAATGAGGAAAGCAGATCGAGAGGAAGATGGAAATGAATCCAAATCAGAGAGTCAAGAAAAGAAGACAGTTGCGTAAGAAGATAAGATTTCCTTCCAGCGGAGAGTTTGAACCACTTTCTAGAAAAGTATTTCTCAGAGAGGAAGACAGGTGAGCAGGAAGGGTATTTGGCAAGAGGTGAGCCAGGAAGAGGAGCAGGAAGGCCGGGCAGGCCCCTCGTTTCGGGAGGCCGCGCCCCAACCCCTGGAGAACCCGCCTGTTCTGGCCTCAAGAGGGCGGTGAGTTTCCAAGAGCGCGTCCGCTTCGGCGGGTAGTTACCTACGGACAGAAGGGGGCAAGGCAGGGCTGCGCGTCCGCAGGGACCCGGCCTGCCCCCACCGGGGCCCGGGGTTCCCGTCTCCAGTCCCCACAGGGAGTAGGAACTGAGTTCCGGGACGGGGTCGGCTCCAGCACCCGCCGGACCAGAGTCTGAGAGAAGAACCCGGAGCCCTCGAGGGTGCTGCACGGCACGGGCTCGCAGGGGTGTTACCAGCCAGGGGAAATCGGAATGTCGTCGTCACCCGGCTCAGGGTTTCAACGGAGCGGCCCTACTGCACCGGGCCTCGGAGTCCACGCTCTCTGCTCTCTACCCAGACATAAACATTCTACTTACAAACACTTGACTTTTATTAAACACGGGAACGTGTTGATTGAATAGAATAAATAAACCCAGACACGAAGAGCTCCTCTGCAGGTCCGGATAAGGCCTGCAGAGCCCCAGGGCCCACCCTGCCCTGTATTCCTAGGTGGTGCAGTCTGTCCAGGTTACTGGGACCTAGTGCACAACCGGGGCCTCCACCCTCCACCCGGAGGCTACTGGCCCCTCCCTGGGCCTCCACCTTCACTCCCCGGGGCGCCGCCTCCTTCCCCAACCAGCAGTTCTACAGGGGTGCTCACCAGCGCAGGGCCCGGCGGGCGGGGGAAGGTGGTTCCCCACTGCCCCTCGCTGGGGGGATGTCCCATGAGGGCAAGGGCGCAGAGGGGAGCCGTACGCACTTTCGGACTGAACTGAGTTTTCCTCGGTGCGTCAGCCCCTTTGGGGAGGGTACCTGCCGACAGGCTGGGAGGTTCCTCTGAGAGGCCGTCCTGCCGTCAGGGCGAAGGGTGAACACACACAGCAAGCGGGAATCTTCCTGGACACGGAATCTGTGTCTCCCAAAAACGAAGGCCGTATCTTTCACGCAGCCAGTGTCAGGGCCCACCTGCCTCACTCCCTTCCTCCCCTCCTCTTGTTTACACAGGACTTGGGGAGGGGAAGGCCCAGCTGGGAGCTCCACTTTTCCCCTTCCAGAAGGTC